TTCTGGGCCAGGAGGGGGTCGCACAGGGGCCTGCGTGGGCTCCCGCCAGGAGGTGGGGGGGACGTGGCAACCGAGGCAGCCGCGCCAGCCTTCTTCCTGGCCTCCTTCCTAGCCTCCTTGCCAGGAAGCTCGTCCTGCACCGCGGACGGGGGGTCCTGGCAGGCAGGGTCCCGCACTGCGGCTCCTGGCCCTGGGCCCTAGCTATTTAGTCTTGTTCTGGCCTCTGGGAGCAGTGTGCGGAGGTGTCTGGGCGTTGCGGGGTCTCCCTGCAAGCACTGGCTTTGGGTGCTCTTCTATGAGTGTGTACATAGCTGGGTATGTGTGTGAGTGTGCAGGTCCCTCTGGGGTCACACATGTGTGCATACATCTGCCTGTGTGTGCCTGGAGGGGTGTCACAGTCACACACACCTGTGTGTTCCTGTGTCTATTTGTGGAGTGTGTGTGTGTGAATATACAGGTCTGCACCCTGGGTGTGTGTATGTATGGACAGATCTGCATGCCTGGACATGAGTGTGTGAGCTGGGCTGTGTGTGTGTCCGTCTGCCCAGCTGTATGTGTGGGGGTCAGCATGTTGGCAGGTGTACTAGCCTGTGTCCTCGCTGATGGTGTCTGGGTGGGAGTCGGCACATTCCTCTCTTTGGAGCCTGCCCGGCCCCGTAGGGGTCACTGGCCACAGCCCCCTCCCAGCTGCAGTGGGAGCAGAAGGCCAGAGGGAGGGCAGGGACTCCTCCGCAGGTTCTGACTGCTGCGGAGTGTCCATCTCTCACTGGTCAGGGTCCAGCCTCCCTCCACTCTTTCTGCTCCCTGTCCTCCATGTCCTCCCAGCCCCCATCTGCTTGGCCAACCCTAGGGTCTGGAGACCAGCAAATTGTTTCTTGGCTGTGCCAGAAGCTGAGCTACTGCTTCTATGCTTTTACCTATGGTGCCCTTGTCTGTCTGTCTTCAGCCCTTCTGTCTTCCACCCAGTGTCAACTGGATAAGGCTGTTTGCTGAAGGAGGTGTGGGGGTCAGGGCCAGAGAACTTGGCTTGACAGGCCATGGGGAGGGGCTGGCAAGGCTGGCACCTGGTCTGTTTAACAGTCACTGCCACCACCCTTGGCCTGAGTGCCTCTTAGCCCAGGCTTCCGGGGAGCTGGTCTCTGAGAACTTCTCGCACTGGACACATGGGCCCCTCCCACCACCCCCGGAGTGGGGTGGTGCTGGTACAGCTCCATTTCACAGATGAGGAGCTGATGCTTGGACACACTGGGCCACTTGTCACTTGTCTGGGTCCCACAGTGGAGCCAGCAGTGTGTGGGGGCGGAGGCGGTCCTCCTGTTGTCCTCTGGGTCCCTGGGAGGGAGGAGGCCAGGAGGGCGGGAGACAGGCCTGGTTCAGACCCTCCCATCTATTGACAACTTTTGCTGGGGGCTTGGTCTGCCCTCCTCAGGGCTGTTGGGTGGGGATGGGGGTGGGGTATTACCCTTTCTACCCCCGTGCCCAGTGGCACTGCTCCTCCCAGAGGCGCACACACTGGCATGCACACATCACGGCCAACCCCGTTCCAGACACTTCACAGGCTCCTGCATTGACACACAGATGGTCGTAACGCCACACTTGTCCCCATGTGGACCCGCCTCTCCTGCCTCCACCTGCTGGGTCTGAATCCAGCTTCCCAGGTTGTGTGCAGGTGCATTGCCACAGGAACCCAGGTCTTCCCCTCTCTGCAGGTCCAGCAGGAACAGGCCCGTGGGCACAGTCTGGAGGCAAACGGAGGGCCTAGGGGCAGGGGTTTGGACCTTTGTGCCCCACTATTGGAGCAACAGAAATGGGCACAAATATACCCAGACTGGGCCCTGGAGAGACTCCCTGCCTGCAAACCCAGAATAAAAGATAGCCCCTGAATCAGATGGTTGCATACTAGTGCACACGCACATATGTACGCCAACAACACAAAGCCTAGAGACTGACCGCCTCACCCAGCTTCCCAGCTCCTCCTGGAGAAGACCTTGGGCTGAGGGCAGCCCTGCGAAGGCCCTGCCGCCCGGGCAGCCTGGGCCCTAGTGTCAGGGCCTCCGGAGAGAGGGAGGGAGCTGCTGGAGCCCGTGGGTGGGGGGTGGGGCTGGCGGGCCTCTGTCCGGCCGCCTGCCCATGAGCCAGGCCAGCCCAGGGTGGTGCCAGTGTCCATGTGCCGCACAGAGTGCTGGCTGCTGACCGGCTCCTGACACCTGCCTGTTGCAGGTGGTGCAGAGGATCAAGGCGGTGGAGGGGCAGACTCGGCTGCTGGTGGTGGACAAGGAGACAGATGAGGAACTCCACCGGCGGCAGCTGACCTGCACTGAGGAGATGGCTCAGCAAGGGCTGCCGCCCACCCAGGACCTCTGGGAGCCAAAGCTGGGCTGGGCACGTGCAGCCAGCCTCGGTTCTGATGCTGGCCAGAAGGTATGGTGGGCTCTGCCCACAGGCCCGTCAGGCCTCTCCCAGACCACTGTGTCTGCCTCCTGACGGCAGTCTCCACCTCTGGTCATCTCCAGAAATTTCTGTCTCCTTCTGTTCTGCTTCTCCCAGCCCCTTCTCTGCCCCTAGGGACCATGACGTTGGTTACCTGGGGCCACTTTCTGCCCTCGGCCTGTGTTTACCGCCAGGTGGGGTCAGGACAGCCTAGCCCTGCTCCCTGGCCTCTGGCCCCCTGTCTCCAGCCTTTTCCCCCAGGATGTTTATTGGAGTCCCCTGGCCTAGAGTAGGTCATTGGTAAGCCCCCCTCCCCAGCCCAGGGCTGAGGAAGCTGGGGAGGGGCTGCTGGGAATGTGCCCAGCTCTGCGCACTGTGCAGCTCTGCATGTGCTGGGTGTCTGTCCGAGAAGACTGCTTGTGCTGTGGGGCAGGGGCTGGCCCTCCCCTGTGGGCAGTACGTGGCTAGGGGCAGCTGAGGAGACTGAGTTAGTTCCTCTATGCTGGGGCCTGGGGCTTCAGGGGTTGGGGCACCTCCCCCTTGTCCCTGCTCCCCCTCCAGGCTGGAAGAGCTGGAAAAGAACTGGTTGGGTGGGGCTGTGCCGCCTCCCAGGTAGCTGGGCCTGGGGTAGCCCTCCCTGGACCGCCCCTGGGGAGCCAGCGGGAGAGTCTGAGGCTGGCTGTTCTGCCTCTGGGCAGCTCCATGTCAGAATCTCTCCTGCTCTCTTACCTCTTACCTTTTTTTTTTTTTAAGAAAAACAAATTTCTTCGGGGGATTCTAGAGTCAAGCCCAGGGGTTCCCCAGGTCCTACTTTGACAATCACTGATGTGGGGCTGATGGAGATCACGATCTGAGGTTTCTGAGTGTGCAGGGGATCCTAACACCCCCCGTGTCCTATTCCCAGATGTCTCCCACGTGACCTGGACCTTGTGGGGCCCGTCCTGGGTGATGGCGTTCCAGGAGGGAGCCAGCCTGGCATAGGCCTGCGTGTGAAGCCATGGGTGCTGTTTGCTTTCCACCGCTCAAGGGCAGAGAACCATGGGGGGTCAGGGCCATCCAACCTGGCTTCTGGACTTTGCCTTGGGGCTGCCAAAGGCCCGAGTAGGAGTCAGAGTAGTGACTTCACGGGAGTCCTGGGCTGGTACTCCACAGGCCCCTCTCAGGCCCAAGGGCCACAGCCTCCGCTCCCTGGGTCTCATCCCCAGGGGAAGTGCCCCTCCTCCCCACAGGCGTTTGTCCATTGATTTAGGCACAAATGGCTTAGTTCACCTTCCTGTGGAAAAATCCGCCCTCGGGCCTTATCTGGAGGGTGGGGTGGCCAAGGCACCTTGTCCTTGGGTGGGACCTTCCCCCTCTGCTATTTCAGGCTCTGGGGGCTGCAGGAAGCCCTAGGAGGGGGCTTCCTCTGGGTGTATTTTTAGAGGAACAAAGTGGGACCTAATGGGCAGGTCCCTCTGAGGCTGGGGCTGGCCTCGGAACAGGGACCCAGAGGGTCAGAGGCCAGAGCAAGGGTCTTTGTCGCCTCCCTTCCAGGCAGGGACCTGATATTTAATTGGCTGAGCTCAGCTCATCAGGAGGTGCTGGGCCTGGGCTGACCTCTAGGAAGCAGGCGTAGCCTCCACCCGAGGTGGGCTGGCAGGGAGCTTGGGAGAGCGAAGCCCACGGGCGGGGCTGTGCTCAGGTGCCTAGGAAGCAGGCCCGGGCAGGATGTGTGTGGTCTGCTTTGGTGCAGGACGAGGGGGCCTAGGTCCTGTGCCCTGTAGGAGGTGAGGATCCAGTGGGGGTCAGGGTCCTGCGGGCCGCCCATGCCCTCTCAGCCTCAGTTTCCCTGACCCTGGGCCAGTAGGGGAGACACATCTGATGTGGCTGGGGCGTGTCAGGGCCGAGTCAGTGCGACTCAGCCTCAGGCCAGACCTGGGTGGGGGTGGCTGCAGCTGACCCTGCAGTAATGCTAGGCAGCGGCCCCCAAGGTGAGACAGGGCACCTGGTGCTGCCAGACGGGTCCTCCTTTCCCTCACCCCGAACCTGGGCCCCCACCGCTAGTCTCTGGGCCTGAGATTGAGGGGGTGACTGGTAGGAGTGGCGGCCTGGAGCATGCCCGCGGGAGGGCTTCGGGGCCCCCTGGCTCCCGCTGTGCCCTGTGACCCACAGCAGGACTGTCTTCTGTTCCGGGGCTGGGGTCCCCTCCCTTGCCCCACTGTCTACCAGCCCTGGTCCTGGGAGTAGGGCAGGGCCTCCCAGCAGCTTCCTTCCTTCCTTTCTTGGGACGGAAACCCAGTCAGTGGTGGGCGCCTGGCTGGAGCCTGAGCAGGGGCGGGGGGCTCAGCCACCACGCTGCTCCCCAAAGTGACTCAGTCCCCATGTCTCCACCCGTCCCTGGGGAGCCAGGGCCACAGAAGGAGGTGGATAAATGGGGTGGCATCCTGGGCTGGCCGGAGAGTTTCAGGCCACTCTGGCTGGATGCTTGCTGCCCGCTACTCCTGTCCTGCCTCCCATGGCCCGCTCTGGGAATGCCACACCGCTGGCGCCGGCCCCAGGAACCCCTCCACGGAGCCCGTCCCAGGTGCTTGTGCAGGTCTGGTGGTGGGACAGGGTGGGCAGTGAGGACCCTGGCAGCCAGCCTAGCCTGTGTCCCCAGAGCCAGGAGAGGGGACTTCTGGGCTCCTGATACCCCTGGTGTGAGAAGGCTGGACCCTGAGCGACAATGGGGGCCTTTCTTTGCCAGGGCTGGTGAGTCACCATCTGGGGGGGCCCAGCCCCGTCCATGGGGCACCCCCATGCCAGCCTCTTAAACACAAGCACAGCTGGGAGGCCAGGACTTGCTTGTCCAGCTCCGGGGCCGCCGGCTAGGAGCCCGTGGGAGCCTGAGGCCCTGGCTGGGAGGCGGCAGGAAGTGCTGTGAGCCAGGGCAAGGGGCAAGGAATGTGAGCAATGCCCCGGCCCATGCCTGCACCCCGCCCAAGCCGCCCGCTGCCTTCTCAGCCTCCCTGCATGGCTACTCTATTTGGGTTGCCCCCAAGCCAGCTGCAGCCTGCACTGCAGCCCCTCAACTTGCGGGTCTGCTGCCAAGTTCAGTGCTTCTCGGACTCTGATCATAACGAGAGGGATTTAGGCTACATGTCAGGAGAAACCCCTTCGGCTCAGGTGGTGAGAGGTGGCTGTGCTGGGTTGAGGCAGGGGACGGCCCCTGTGCTCCCGAGCCTGAATGTGACTTTAGCCTGGCCTTATGGCCCCATATACCCCCCAAGTCCTGCTTCCTGTTTGGGGGCCTTGAGAGATCCTGCCCTGGGGGCCATTGTGGAGCATGTGGCAGGAGACTGCAGGACCCTGTGACACGGGGTTGTCCTTGCACACAAGTGGGTCGCTGTGTGTGTCCGTGTAGCGTTGCGTGTGTGTGTTCGGATGTCTGGTCTCTGAGATGGTGCAATGTGCCTCGCCGCCTGGGCTGCATCCATGTGGCAGCCGTGGCCATGTCCTACTTCCTCATTCCGTGCTCTGCCCTGGCTCTGAGCCGGTGCTCTGACAGCCCCTACGCGAGAGGTGCTTCTGTGGGGAGGCATGGACCTGCCCCAGAGCCTCACGCCTGTACCTCCGGGTATGTCTGGGAGAGGGGCCCTGGAGAACACGGGGGTCTCACACCTCGCAGTTCAGCCCCAGTTGCCCAGCTGAGCTCCCACAGGCCCAGGGGACAGCAGCCCTGTGCTAGAGTTCCCAGGGTTATAGGGCCAGATGGGGCCTGCTGCAGGGGCTCCAGGGAGGTGCCTGTGCAGGCTTTAGGGGTTAGGGAAGGGGACCCGGAAGAGGGTCACAGGCTGGACAGGAAAAGGGTGTTCCTCATGATGGGTGGGTGGGAAGGCCCAGAGCCCAGGGCAGGCCCCCACCCTGCAAGGAAACCCACGCACACGCTGCTGCCCGGCCGACTAGCAAGCCAGAGCATTGGCAGTCAGATGTGGGATTTGGAACGAGCTCGCAGGCCTGGGGTCTGGAGTGGTCGGGGGAAACCTGGACTCAGGGGGACAGGTGCTGAGGCCTGGATACCTTCCCTGAGGGCTGAGGGGCACTCCCTCAGTGCCGCTTGTGGCCCCAGCCTGGCCTGGGGACCCTCAGCCGCACTGAGAGAGCTGGAGGGTGAGGGAGGGCCCCAGCGAGCACCCTCACCCTGCACACACAAGCAAGCTCCAAGCGTCCTAGGAAACCTGAGCTGCTGCCTGCCCGCTCACTCCGGCCACCCGCCATGTTTAATTGAGCTCCAGCAGCCGCTGGCCACTCAGCGCCGTGGTCACTGCCCTAGGCTGGGTGGGGGTCCTGGGACCTGGCCCTGCCTGCACAGCCCCCAGCCCAGAGCCCTACTGCAGGATGCCAGAGGTAAAGTGAGGCAGGGCCCTGGGGTGTTGATGGGTGGCCCCTCAGGGCACCAGGGGACTTCATGTCTGGCAGAGAGAGTGGGAGGGCAGGTCCCGCCCCTGCTCTCTGCCTGGGCTCCTGCCCTCTGCCTGGGCTCCCGCCCTGCCGTGCATCCCTGTGTCAGGGCCCTGTGGGGGCGGGGGCGGCCCCAGCTTGCTCTGGAATGTGAAAGCAAATACAGCCGCATGGCCACCGGCCCTGTGGAGGCCACTGAGAGAGAAAACAACTGCCGGGCCTCCAGCTGCCCTGCCCCACACACTCAGAGAGGTGGGTGGTGCAGGGGCACACGAGCCAGGCCACGGGGACAGAGTGAGTGGCAGCTCATCTCGGCTGGTCCCCCAGGACCCTGGCCTGTGCTCAGCACTGCCTTGAGTCAGCTGATTCTCCTAATACCCTTGTAAGGCCACTGGTCCCATCAGAAGTCATTTTGGGGTTTGGAAACTGGGTTTGCCCAAGGTCTCACCACTGGAGCCGGGTCACGGCCTAAGTGGGGCCCTGGGCATGGGCGCACCGTGTTTGTCTCTGAGACCTGGGGCTGTGGTAGGTGGGAGCATGATGCCACGTGTGGGGGTTGGGCTGCCTCCAGCCCACCTCCACTGCTGTGCAGCACATTGCGGGCCGCAGGCCCGGGTTGGGAGATCAGAGCTGAAGCCTGACCCCGCGTTCCATGTGCCTGCAGGATGTGAATGGGCCCCCGAGGGAGCTACGCCCTCGGCTGTGCCACCTGCGGAAGGGCCCCCAGGGCTATGGGTTCAACCTGCACAGTGACAAGTCCCGCCCGGGACAGTATATCCGCTCGGTGGACCTGGACTCGCCCGCCGCCCACTCTGGCCTCCGTGCCCAGGACCGACTCATTGAGGTAACTGTCATTGAGATTTCAGTGTCGGGTGTTCTGCCTGTGTGGGTCCCTCTGTGCTTGTGTCCCCCGTGCGTTTGTGCCAGTGTCCCCTGTGTGACTGGCCCACGTCCCCTGCGTGTCTGGCCCATGTCCCCCGCATGTCTGTGCTAGTGTCCCCAGCGTGTCTGGCCCATGTGCCCCTTGTGTGTGTCTGGGCACATGTCCCTCTGTGTGTGTCTGTGTCCCCCACGTGTGTCTGGGCCCCAGGTCCTTGCTGGGAGGAAGGGAGATGCTGGGAACCTGAGCTGGCATCCCTCTTGCTGCCTGGGCTGGTGACAATATTGATGAATATTTGATGCCACACTTGGCCAGGTGGCTTGGGGCTGGTGGGGAGCTGTCCCCAGGCAGTCCTGACTCCGTGCTGCTGGTGGCAGGTGAATGGGCAGAATGTGGAGGGGCTGCGCCATGTGGAGGTGGTTGCCCGCATCAAGGCAAGGGAGGATGAGGCGCGGCTGCTGGTGGTAGACCCTGAAGCAGACGGGCACTTCAGGCGGCTGCGAGTCACACCCACTGAGGAGCACGTGGAAGGTGGGCCACTGCCCTGGGGCCAGGAGGTGGGGTGGGGTGTCTGGGGCTGGGTAGCCACTGATACACTGTCCCCACAGGTCCACTGCCATCACCAGTCACCAACGGGACCAGCCCTGCCCAGGTGAGAGGGTGGGAGTGGACAGGGTGGGCCCAGGAGAACACAGGGGCCCCTCTGGGGGCCCCCAGGCCTGACAGAGCACCCCACCTTGAGAGGTCTATCCTTGAGTAGGCACAGTTGAGACCCAGTCTGGCCCCAGCTGTAATGCCCTGTGGACCTCTGCTGGGCCAGCCACACCCCAGCTCCCTGGGGTGGGCGGGCACCTCTGGCCCCTGGGCTGCTGGCTCACTGTTGCCTGGTTCCCTGGTGGTCTTTAGTCCCTCCCTGGGAGGCTGGCACTGGCTTTACTCCAGGCAATGCTCATGTGGGCGATCTGTGCACCCAAACTGCATCTCCACGTTGTGAGCCCGCCAGGGCCAGGCCACCTGCCTGCTCACTGCTGGGTGTCCCGGGTGCTGCTCTCCATGGGCCTGGAGCATAGCAGAGGCTCGTGCCCACTGCCGACGCGGGAATAAATGCAGGCCCTGGGCATGTGCCTGTGTGTGTGCATACACCGCAGGCCCCTGGGCGGGGCTCCTGAAGCCACACCTCGCCCTTGGTTTCCCAGCTCAATGGTGGCTCAGCATGCTCGTCCCGAAGTGACCTGCCTGGCTTAGACAAGGACACTGAGGTAGTGAGTCCCTGCCCACCTCTACTGCTCGGCTCACACACGGGGAACCTGAGGCCTTGGGGGTGGGCGCCTGTGGAGCTGTCAATCCAGGCAGCCGCCACTCCAGGAAGCCCTCCTGGTGGCCTCTAGTGTGATGTGAGCTCCCTGGGAGGGATCATTTCTCTGGGGACTTGGGTCCAGGACTTCCCCTGGTCACCTGCCCACCCTGCCTGTCCCCAGGATGGCAGCACCTGGAAGCGTGACCCCTTTCAGGAGAGTGGCCTCCACCTGAGCCCTACTGCGGCCGAGGCTAAGGAGAAGGCGAGGGCCACTCGCGTCAACAAGCGGGCCCCGCAGATGGACTGGAACCAGAAGCGTGAGATCTTCAGCAACTTCTGAGTCCCTCCTGCCCGTCTGCCAGGCCCACCTCCGAAGCTTGGGCCTTGGCCTACCCCCTGGGCCCTGCCCAGGGCTCCCAGGGCCCCAGTGGACTGGAGGGGGTGCCTCCTCATCCCCAGAGGCCATGGAGGTTCCCCACCACCTGGGAACCGGCCCACACCCCAGTGAGCCCTCATCCTGCGCCCTCCCGCTAGGTGCTGGGGGAGCAGCGGTCAGATGGGAGGGGGGCCCAGGATGCGAGAGAGACAGAGAAGGCGGGGAGAGGAGGCACAGGGCATGGGAGCGAGGGGAGAGGGGAGCTGGCCTGTGGGGCCGGGTCCTTGCTCTGCCTGGGCCTGCTGACTTACAGGAATTCGTGTTTTTGCTTTTTTTCCAAAAAGAGCTCAGCTGCACACATGTTTCCACTTAATACCAGAGCCCCCACCCCCTCCCCCTCAGGACGTGCTCTCTAAATCATCACAGTAAAACAGACCTTTCTCTGCAATCCATTTCCACCCCAAGCGGGAGTCCCAGAGACTTCCAGGGACAGAGAGTTGGGGGGCCCAAGGCTGTGTTTGTGGGGGCTTCTGCCCCATCCCTACCCTCTCTGGAATGGGGGGGTCACTGGGCCAGGCCCCCTAGATCCCTACTGCACCAGGGTCTGGGGCACAGGGCCTGGGTTCTCCGAGGGGCTGGAACATGAAGGCTCCGTGCCCCAGAGAGGGGCAGCCTCTGGGCAGGCTCCTTGGCCCAGCACGGCGGCCCCAGGCCCGGGCAGTGTGGCTGTGGGAGAGCCTGCCCCCGCAGGGACCCCAGGCTTCTGGGCTTCACCCCTGCTTGGCGCCCTCCTCCAGGAGCCCCGCCCACTCTGCCTTTTCTCCCCGCCGTGACCCCCACCGACCAACATTGCTGTCTGTCCTATAAGCCATAGCGCTGCGCGCCCTCAGAATAAACAGGCCTTCCTCGGACCCCGGGCCTCCTCTGTCCCTCCTGACTCCTCTCTCGCGAGTGGAAGTCCGTAGTCCAGCTGAGAGGCGGCCGTCAGGCAGTTTCTGCTGCTGGAAGCTGAGGTCCATTCCTCAGCCTCCCCCCTCTCCAAATCCACCTGCCTGGCAGGGAAGCCTGACCCCTCCCTTCCCCTCCCTCCCCAGCCCACCTGGGACTCTGTGCCCCCGAGCCCTGCCTGCCTTTCCCATCCCACCCCCACCAACAGCACCTCCTCGAAGCCTTCTGGGCTCCAGGCACTGCCCTCGGCCCCCTGGCAGCCAATGCCATCCCCAGTAAGTATACCGAGGTCAGGCCTCATGCCCTGTGGCACCCAGTCTGGGCCTACTGGGGTTCACCTGGAGGCCAGGTGGCTCTGTAAACACGGGGGCGGGGCTTCCTGGCAGAGCCCGGCTCTCAGGGAGCACAAGCTCAGGACGGGTGCTTTTAGGTCTCCAGCCAGCTGCCAAGGAGGGAGGGGGCCCAGGTCTCCAGTGTCCCCAGCGGGCTGCCCAGCAGCTGGCTGCAGCTGGCTCCCACGGTCCCTCTCCTGTCCTCCTGCACACCCGCTGACCCCGCTCTCCCACCCCCACACACAGCCCAGATTGTCACGGCTCCATCCTGGCCTCCCAGGCAACCCTGTTCTAAACACACGTGAGCATGGACACACACACACAGCTCACACACGTGCTTCCCGGCCTGTCCCCACCCCCAGGTCTACAAGTCAGCCAAGCCTCAAGTGCAAACAACCCCTAAACTTTATTATAAACAGGCTTCGGGCTCCCCAGCGAAGGCACATGACAGACAGCGAAGCAGCTGGGGAGAGGCTCCTGGGCCCTCAGGGCCCCGGTGCAGCTGGGCACAGGGCCCGGTTGAGGCAGGCCTGGCAGCGTGGGTGGACAGGCAGACAGGTCTGCTGGCCGAAGCCCACCAACAGTCCATTGATCTCGCTCCACAGCTCCCTGTGGGGGTGGCAGCCTGTCAGTGCCCAGGGAGAGAGGGAGGGAGGGAGGTGGGGGAGCCCGGCCCCCACCCACCTGTTGGCACCTGGGCAGCCACTCCTCCAGGGCAGCTCGGGTCTCCTCCGGGGTCTTGGTCTCCTTCCTGGTCCATCTGAGTCTGTTGGTAATTCTGTGCACATGCGTGTCCACTGCTGCCGGGGACAGGGAGGAGCAGGCGTGGGGCACGCTTGCCGGCCGAATGCTCCGGTGTCTGCCCACGGCCCTGAGCCCAGGTCAGGGGGCCATGCTTGGAGGCTGAGTCCACCTCCCACTCCAGGGCTCTCACAGAGGACCCAGAACTGCACATCCTGGCCACGGGGGCCTGAGAGCAGGTCAGGGCTGGGACAAGACCAAGAGGGCTTGGGCTCTGTATTGGGGTGCAGGCAGCAGAGCTCAGCACTGGCTGTGGGCACCAAGCTGGTTTGGCAGCAGCTTAGCCCAGTGAGCTGGCGTGACGTCATGGTCAGGGATGGAGGGAGTGTGGCTAGATCAGCTGCAGCTGCTGGCCACCTGGGCCCCAGCCCCTGCCCCCCTCGGCCAGCCACCCAAGGGCCTGCGTGCCACTCACTGGGCACTCCTCTCCCCAGCCATGGCCATCCCCTTGGTGCCTGGCCTAGAGAAGCCAGTCCCTGCACGGCTGCTCTCCCCTGCTGCTGGCTGCCTAGAAAAAGGCTCAGGCTCTGCCCAGATGCCAATGGAGAGAGTGCTGGCGTCACATGAGCCTCAGTTTCTTCCTCCCTAATGCAGAGACGGCCATGCTCCCTAAACCACCAGAGGCCCAGCCTAAGCCACAGTACCGCGTGAGAGCCTCCTCTGGGCCTGTCCAGGAAAGCCACGCAGGAGGGCACTGCTTCCCCTGTTTTGTGGCTGAAGCTTGGAGAAGCCAAGTGTGTTGCCCAAGGTCGCCCAGCTAGGAGGGCAGAACTGGGATCAGCCACTGCACCCCATGACTCTGGTTCTGAGGGAATCCCCTGGGGGGTGGCCCATCCCCACTAGGGTCTCCCTGTGGATGGCTGGGAGCAGAGGCCACAAGAAAGGGTGACCCTCTGACACCCCTACCTGCTGTGTCTGCTGCCCTCAGAGGCCTGTTCCCCACCCAGCCATGGGTAGGGGACCTTCCCACCAGTCCCACCAGACCACTCCTGGGACTGGGCAGCTGAGGATGGCTGCCCAGATAAGCTCAGGTATCTGCTGACAGGCTGGCAGCTGCAGGAGCCCAGGTAGGAGCGGCTCTGCCCTGGCCCCGCCTGGCCTGGCCTGGCTCTGGGGCTGCCACACTCCAGCCTCCCTGTGTGCTCAGAGCCCTTGGCCTTTAGCTGCCCGCCTGGCCATTGGCAGTGTGGGGACAGGGCCCCCAGCCCAGGGGCAGGCTTTGTGAGTAGTGCTCAGCAAACAGGAGCTTCTCCCGTCTGTACCCATCTCTGAGTGGGGCAGGCCTGGGTCAGGGCTGGGAACACCTGTCTGATACTTTTAGGCTGTGGATGGGGAAACCTGAATCAAGGTCACACATCACAAGGATCTGGGGAACCCTAACAGCAGCCAGTGAGCTTGCAGCTGGCCCCTCTCGCCTGTGGGCGTGTGACACTCACCAATGCCTGACACAGTGCCCCAGGCCACTGCCATGGCCAAATGAGCCATCTTGGGCCCAACACCTGGCAGTGCCACCAGCTCTTCCACGGAGGCTGGGATGTCGCCGCCATAGCGCTGCTGCAGGATGGCACTGGTCTGCTTGATGTATTTTACTTTGTTCTGAAAGATGGGGAAGTCAGACATGGAGATGGGGGTACAGCCTGGCCCGGGAGGATGAGGCCTCAGGAAGGCCTGATGGTGCCCTGAGCTGCCTGTCCCCTGCCCAGGATACACTCTGCTGTCCCTGTCTCCCCAGGAGGCGGCAACAAGCCAAGGGCAGCAGGGAGCCAGAGAAGAGCCAGTGCAGGCCTGGACCCTGCCTCCCACCTGCCTGGGCCAATGATGTGTGCAGGACCTGGCTGGGGTGGGGGACTCCCCTGCCCATCAGTCCCCCGACTGGCCAGGCAGGCGCTAGGCTCAGCCATGTCACGAACTGGACTCAGCAGCACCTGGGCCTTCAGGAGGGAAGACTGGAGTTTGGGGCTCCCCTGCCAGCCACCAGCGCAGCCAGGCAGTTCCCATTCTGTTCCTAAGCAGAGAGGGCTATTTAAAACCCATTTGACAAACCACAGCTGACGCCAGTGCCAAGGGGAAGCAGCCCCACCCGCCTGGCTGCCTCCGACGGATCCGCCCACCGGCCTATGCAGGCTCCTGTGGGGAGGGTGGGAGGCACTCCAGGGAGGCCTGGGGTAAACAAAGGAAAGGCGGAGGGCACCTCAGCAAGGAAGGGAAGGTTGGGGCTGCTGGGCAGGGAGGCAGAGGAAGGAAAGGGCGGGCTGCAAATGAGAAAGACCAAGGAGCTCCAGGGCCCGGCCCCCTGTGGCTGCTTCCTGCACTCCCAGAGCACCCCACAGCCCAGCTCTGGTGGCCACAGGGTGGGCTCACCCTCCAGAAGCCCACGGGGTAGATGAGGGTGCCCAGAATGTTGTCATCTGTCTGCAGAATGCTGTCCACTGTCAGGCCCCGGGCCCGCAGCCGCTGCATGGCGCCTGCTGTCACCTGGTCTTTGGTCTGGCTGGAGAGCATCAGTGACAGCAGCAGCTGGTACCTCTGCACCTGCATGTGCCACAGGGGTGGCTGGTGGTGGGTCCTGGGTGCTCACTGTGGGCCAGGCCCCAGCCAAGCTCTTTACCCACCGACACTTATTACCCTACCCTGCACCCCGGCCAATGGAGCGTGGGTGGGGTCTGGCCTGGGCCTCGTTTTTCATCTGCAACCTGGGGACAATAACAGACCCTGCCTCAGAGGATTGCTGTGGAACTTAAAGAAATCATCACAGCACCTAGACTCATACCTGGCACAAGATCAGCTCTCAACAGCCATTAGCTACCGCTATGTAAATAATACCACCCATTTCACAGATGAGCAAACAGGCCCCAAAAGGCATGTACTCAAGACATCTGTAGCAGGGTTGGGATTAGAACCCGGTTGGTCTGAGGACTAGGAGCCGGGCCAGTGAAATGTAAGGAATGCTCTTTTAACAAACGTCCCAAGAAGACCTGATATGCCAGGACTGTGCTAGCCAAACACAGAGCACAAGGCCCAAACCACAGGTACCCAAACCTGCTGAGTGGCCACAGAGAAGCAGGTGATGCTGCCTGGTGCTCTAGGCCCCAAGTGCACATCCTTCTCAAGGTGCTGCAAGCAGGGGAGGGTTCCAGCCAAGAGCCACCACTTGTCAGGCTGCCCCCCATCAGAGGCCTGAGAGGGAGCCAATGTCTTGTTCAGAAAGGGGTCACCAGGCAGATGGGGCCCCTGCCTACCTTTGGGGGTGCACTGGGATCATAGCAGTGCTCAGCCCCCAGCTGGTCCACAGGCGCATCCTTCCCACTCCTCATGGTGCGTATGTTCGCCAGCTGCCGCTGCCAGTCCTGAGGCTCCCACCCCGGGGCCTTGAGGGGCTCGGTGCCCTCTCCTTTCTCACGATGTGAGCCCTCATAGGCCACATGTAGTCTTTGTGCCTTCCGTTGACGCTTCGCAGAGCTCTCGCTTTCCCTTCCATCTGCAAAAAGTGCCACTTGGTCCCTTCAGCAGGGCCACAGGTGAGGGTGGGGTGTGGGTGCTGCCTGACTCGCCATCATCCCTCCTCATTCATCCAACCGGCTGGATCCATTCTGGCTGCGCACCCTCTACCGCAGCTCTGTTTGGAGCACACGCTCTGCGGCAGCCTGCCTTCCCCATGCCACTGTCCTCCTGACCAAGTGTTGCTTGCATATTGCAGGACTCTAGTAACTCCTACACCATGGTGTCCCCAACCTAGTTTCCATGCTGTGTCAGAGAACTTTCTAAGACCCACATTGTATTGTGTCTCTTCCCCTTTAAAGCTCCTCCAAAATGTTTTTTATCTTGTTCTAGTCTCCATACTCCATTCTGGCATCAAAGCTCCTGCCCACCTGGCTGGCATTGACACCTGTTCCCCCTGCCCCAGTTCCTCCGGTCATGCTTCTGTCCCAGTGTGGCTCTCCTTGTCTGGGCTACCCCTGAGGTTCCTGGGGCCTATGGGAATCCCCCTCAGGCCAATCCTGCAGGATAAGTGCTGGGCCCCTGTCAGTCTCGCTCATTGCCGAGTCCTGCACTTGGCACAGTAGGTCCTTAATGGCTCCTGGAAAAACAGAATGAAAGCTGTGCCCTTTCCCGTTTTCTCTCAGAAGCACCCTCTAGCAGGGGGAGAGGATTTCTACTTGGGGGTGTCCTTGGCACCCACACTCTCTTGAGAGGGAAGCAGCTGTGAGGTCAGGGCCGGTCTGCCCCACAAAAAGCCTGGCACAAGCGAGTATCCCAGGACAGGGGAGTAGGACAGGGAGAATTTTCTGTTCAGCATGATGGTGGGGGAGGTGGGTGCGCCTGGAACCCAGCCCCTGTGGACTCGTGCCCAACTCCTGGGAACAGGGCGCAGGGTGAGCACCTACGGCCGCAGGTGGGGCCGGGTCCGTTGCGTTCTGCGCCCGGGTCCCCAGTCCTCATTGCCCCGCCTCTCCTCCCGTGCCCCGGCCCTGGAGCAGAGCTACCTGCAGCCACCGCTCCCGTCCGGAGCGGCGCGGCCTCCTGCCCACCCCCTCGCGGCCCAGCCCTGGGTCCCCGGCTCCTGCTGCGGGTCACCATCCTCACGCTCGCTGCGTTCATGCCGGACTTCTGCGGACTACACATCCCGGCGGCTCCCGCCGCCCCGTCATGTGACTTGATTCGTGCCCCACCTTTCTGCTTGTGGGCGGCCCAGAACTACGACTCCCAGCAAGCCCTGCGCCGGTAGTGCGCTGCCGGAAGTGGAGGTATTTCCGGGGTGGCCTGAAGGCCGGGGTGTTCTCCCTTCTCCCCGGGACTGGCCGGGGTGAGGCAGGCGCGGCGCAGGGTGAGTGGCGCGCGTCACCCCGACCGCTGATGCCGCCCCGGACCGACGCGTGGCCCGGCCCCGACAGGGCAGCGGTGGTGGGGGGGCAGCGGCGCCGAGCCTGGACGGCGCTGAGGCGGCGGGGGCGGACCCTGCAGTGTCCCCGGCTCCGGCCTTCGGCCGCGCCCACCGCCGCCTGACCGTGGGGCTCCAAGCACACTTCGGTGTTCAGTTATGGCGCGTGTGAGGGTCCCAGCCTCTGGCATCCCCCCGACAGCCCTCCGCGTGGGGGGGAGAAGAGGCGGCAAACGCCAGGGTTCCCAGGGCCGCGCGGCGGCCTCCCGCGCCCCGCATTCAGCCCGCGCCTCTCTGGCCGGGTCGCCCTGGAAGCTGGGGGAGGAAGGTGGTGCCCCCCGGAGACCCAGGTGCCCCGGCGCTGGAGGTCCGCAGCGGGGGCGGGTGGGCGGGGCAGCTCCTGAGACCTCTGCTCTGCCTGTTTCCTGGGCACAGGCGGCGTCTGGTGCGCCCCTACCCACCATGGCCAAGCCAACAGGCAAGGATTCGGGCTTGAAGGAGAAGTTCAAGACTCTGCTGGGACTGGGAACCCCGAGGCCAAACCCCAGGTCTGCAGAGGGCAAGCAGACGGAGTTCATCGTCACGGCCGAAATCCTGAGAGTGAGACGACTGCCCCTGCTTTTCTGCTAGTCCGTTTGCTGGGGGAGAGGTGCTGTGCATTCTCCTCGGTTCTTGTCCCCGCGGTGACAAAGAACTGAAGGGCAGAGACGCAGTAGTGAAGCACAGTAGAAGTTTTATTCAAAGATACTTAGAAAGAAGTGCAGGCGACCTCGGAGAGAGGAGAGCGCCCTGAAAGGCTGAGGGTTCCCCCTTTTAAGGATTTTTCAGGAATATGACGAAGGGCTAGGGTGTGGGCTTGTTAAGTGGTCTCGAGTATCTTTGCTGAGACTTTAAGTTTCTTACCAGTCAGCCCTCTAGGTAATTCTGCAAAACTAGTCTGCCCTTCCTCCAAGGTGGACAGAGGTATTGGTTTGCTAAAGAGTATGTTAAGAAGCTTTCTTCTTAAATTTCCTAGGTTTTTTTTTCAGAATGCAATTTTGGCTTTCAGGTGGGATCTCCCTGTCTTTATTATGCTGTTTATAGGTGGGCCTTTTAGCAGGCTAGAGTAAATCTTACAAGGATCTAATTGACACAATGAAGACACGGGCTGTGCTCAGATGCTTTTCTTTATCTGGGGAGTATGCAAACCTTCATGGCCAAGTTGCTCTTGACCTTTTGAGCTTTAGCTGATTAACTCTGAGTCATTTCTGGCTTTCTAGGTTTAACTGGTTAACTGAGCCCTTTCTGGGGGCTTTACTCCCCTTGTTCTCTTTCCACCCCACTCATATCTATTTTCCTGCCTGACACTGTGGGAGGTGCAAGGAAGGCTGGGTTTGACATGCCACCAGGGTCTGTGGGAGCTGGGTCACTGTTCCCAGTACTCTGGAGGCGTACATCCTCTGGGGGTTGGGGATGTTCAGACGCCATGGTCTGAAGACCATGGTTTGTTTCCACAAGTGATGAGGATTAAGGGCAAGTGTAACTGGTAATACGTGAGTTCCTGGAGAAGTGGGTCTTTATTTTCTTGTGTGTGTTTGAATCTTTCCCTCCCTACCACATGCCTGGCACCGTGTTTTGCCTGTAAATAAATGTTGAATTTTTGCACTTGTGAAGTTTCCCATTCAGAAACAACCAAAATGCTTACTAGCTGGTGAATGTATAAACAATATGGGCTGCATCCATATGATGGAGTATTACTTGGTAAAAAAAGGAATGAAGTTTGATACATGCTATAGCAGGGCTGAAGCTTGAGAACATGCTATGGGAAAGAAGCCAGTCACAAAAGACCGAATGTCATCTGACTTCATTTTCATGAAATGTCCAGATTAAGCAAATCTATAGAGACAGAAAGTGAATCAGCATTTGCCAGGGCCTGAGGCAGGGGATGGGGAGTGACTGCTAATGGGTATGGAGTTTCCTTTTCAGATGATGAAAATATTTTGGAGTGAGTAGAGGTGGTTGTAAGCATTGTGAATATACTAAAAATAGAGTTGAACAGTTCAAAATTGTTAAAATAGTGGATTTTATGTTATGTGAGTTTTATAAAAACAAAAATGCAGTCATGAAAAGAGAAGTCTGTTCTCACTTCACTGAGATGGAGTGGTCAGCTTAGTGATCCCTGGTCCCGGAATGATTGGTGGCAAGTCTGCAGGGTGAGAAGCGCAGGACGGTTGGTCCTCAAGGTGACTTGTGCCTGGCAGCCTGGCAGACCCGTGGCCCGAGCACAGGCACCTTTTCCCCCCTTCATCTCACTCCAGGAACTGAGTGTTGAATGTGGCCTCCACAACCGCATCCGGGTCATAGGGCAGATCTGTGAAGTTGCAAAGACAAAGACATTTGAAGAGGTAAGTCTGTCTCAAGGGGACTGCTGGGGAGATGTGCATGAGCCATTTAAAGGTCTGGTTAGGTTCTTTCTAAGAGCTGGGTTGACAGCTAAGTTGGCTAATGAACACATAAGCACAGTTTTAGTAAGTTCAGCCTTTATTTTAGTGATAGGAAGCTCCTGGAAATGTCCTGAGCACAACCCTCAGGGGCTGATCCCACATCACAGCAGACTGCAAAAGGGTCAAGACTTGTAGCAGCTCTGAGAAGGGGTTTGTAGTAGCCTAAAGAGATGCACACTTTCTTACCCTTTTGGGTCATAGGTCCAGGGACAGGGAAAATAGAGACACATTAGGAAAGAGTGTGTTTTCACAGAGAGCAGTTCAGCACGCCAATCTTGGCATCATTTTGGGAGAGGTGTCCGGTCAGTGGTAGCCTTACAAGCAGCCTTATAGACATAAGTGCTAACCTGTTTTGGCCAGATATTACCAGGCTGTGGACAGAGTGGGAAGTTGTAATTAGAATGTCAAGGATTCTGCCCTTGCCTTGCCCCAAGATTATGTAAGTGACTGAGGAGGAGACGTGAACACCATACCTAGCGGATTCAAATCCGCCACGGGAGAGGGGAGAGTGAGAACTTTTCGCAGGCTCTCTGAAACATTCAGGTTGCACGTTGCCAAAGATAAATGTAAAAATAGGCATCAGCATTGATTAAGTTGCCTGTAGGGAAGGGAGCTGTGGCTGAGCTGCCATCGGCTGGACAGAGGGGGCCAGGAGGCTCTGTGTCAGGGTGTTGTTGAGGTTTAGGTTGCATCAGTAGAAGTATTGTGATTGGGGCAAAGGAGGTGAAAATTCCATTGTAATCTGAGTTGGTCAGATAATGTTTAAAAGACATTTTAGTCACCTCCTAAGAGGTGTGAACCCAGGGAAGGGTAAATGGTCTGAGAACCCTTGTGGGAAGGAACCTAAGGGTCAGTGTGGAAAAGAGAAAGTGACATGAAAGAAACTGATTCTGGGTGGCTGTGAGGACCAGCTCCTCTCTGGGCCTCTGGTAAGGCTTAGAGGATGAGGACTTCAGAAGTCTCACAGAGTCCTTGGCCGGTCACACTGGGCAGCAGCGGCAGGGTAGGGGTGTGGTACCGAGGCGCCCTCTCCGTAGACTTAGAGGAGCCAGGGAGCAGGACTTCCGGGTCAGGGTGCTGGCCTGGCAGCTGCCGTGGCCTTCCTGATCTGAGACTCTTCCAGTGACTTTCCCCACCAGAGCCCGTGCGAGATACTCCCTGCCTGTCTCGGGGCAGCCAGAGCAGCTCCCCTCGGCCTGTGGCCTGGTAAGGGCTAAGGGACCTCCGAGGCTCTGATAGCTTGGAGCTGTTCTCATCAGCCTCACGTTCACCATGGGCTGTGACAGGCCCATGGCAGTGGGCTTTCAAGGAACAAGTTCTAATTCAAAAGACCCCTTTGTTCTTCTCTGTCCTTTGCTCACGGTACTGTCCCTTGAGTTGAGGGGCCAGCACACCCTGATTGCCGTCCCGTCTCTGGCAGCATGCCGTGGAGGCACTCTGGGAGGCTGTCTCGGACCTGCTGCAGCCAGAGCGGCCTCCTGAGGCCCGGCACGCGGTGCTGGCTCTGCTGAAGGCCATCGTGCAGGGGCAGGTAAGGGGTGGCGGGTCTGTGCTGGGTGGAGCTGGGATGGTTGTGTGGGCTGAGGGCCCACTGACTCTTCCCGCGGTGCCGCGCTTAGACTCATGTCTCTGGTGAGCGCGCCAGGAGCTCTGCAGCTGGACTGCCTGAGTGGGCATATCCCTGTGTCGCCTCTCGTACCTGTGTGATTCCAGGCAGGTCACTGGAGCCCCCAGGCTTCACCTCCCCTGCTATGAAATTGGGACGCTTGTTCCTTCTCTGGAGTGTTTTGAGGAGTTAAGTGAGGTGGTTCTTGCCAAATGATGAGGGCGGAGCCGGTACAAGTGAGCTGAGGTCGTCTTGTGCCTGCTGACCTCACCCCACACCCCAAGCTGCTGCCCCCTGCTCCTAGGCTCCGGCCACACTGGTCTCTGCTTTTCCTGGGGTGCACAGGCCATCTTGGCACCCCCAGCCTCCACCCATTTCCTCCACTGCTTCACACCACAGCTGCTTGGAGAGGCCTTTCCACTCTCAGCACAGTTAGACTGTGTTGTCATGATATGAACAAGTGTATCTACCCTGGATTGTGAGCCCCCAGGGGGCTGGAGCCACATTGTCCCTGCTGTGTGCCCCCCACTGTGCCCAGAGCTGGACTCATAGTCGGTGCTTCGTACACACCTGCCCTGAGCCATCGGACAGCCCCAGTCTGTCCCTTCCAGCTAGTTCCTGTGGGAAGGAGAAAGGGCCCCAGGGTTGGGAGTCTTGGAGCCCGTGGCACTTTCTGGACTTCTTATAGCTGCGTGGGAAGCACAGGGGGCCAGTGGTCCCAGTAGGACTGCTGACCCACGATGTTGTGTTCAGGGGGACCGCCTGGGCGTTCTCAGGGCCCTCTTCTTTAAGGCCATCAAGGACTACCCCTCCAGTGAAGACCTCCACGAAAGGCTGGAAGTTTTCAAGGCCCTCACGGACAACGGGAGACACATCACCTACTTGGAAGAGGAACTGGGTGGGTGCCACAGGTGTGAGGGTTCTCTGGTCTTGGTGATCAAATGCGAGGCCTGGGATGCGGGAAGACCGCTGGGCCCCGGAGAGCTGCAGTTTACAGGCATGGCCTCCAGAGGGCGCTGCACCATGACGTCTGCTTACCTGTGCACAACCTGGATCAGCCACCTGACTCTCCTGGGGAGCTTGTTAAAAATGCAGAGTCCTGTGCTTCACTGCAGACCTGCTGGCTCGAGCCCCTGGGGAGTGGGGCCTAGGTGGGCCTCTTAGGTGGGTAGGGGGTGGTCTGAGTTCTGTTGTAGGGAGAGCAAGGAAACATCAGGCTGCCACCTATCTGGAGCACCCTACGGTTTTTGGTGGCGAGGGTGGGGTGTGCCTTGCTGCGTCTTCCTCCTGGTCATCTCCATGTCCCAGGCCTGCCCTTCTCGCTCTCCTTTTTGCTGTCCTCTCTCCCTGTTCTGATGGTGTGAGGTTTCTGTGACTTGTGAGATTTTATATCACCACTGTGGGAACAAGAGGGACAAGGGGAAGAAGTAAACCTGAATTAGGCCTTGGTGTCTGTCACCCAGAACCGGGCCTCAGCTGTTAGTCTGCCCCCAGGACAGGCGCAGATGAGGGGCCATGGTCAGGTCTTCCGTCCAGAGTTATCTGGTTAGCTGCCAAGCACTGCTTGTCTCTGTGTTGAGAGAGTCTCAGGGTGGGCAGGGGCCAGGAATCTGCCTCCTGGACGTTCTCCCCAGTGACGCCTGTACCCCAGCATCGGCGTCAGTGCTCTGAGTGTCGGGTGCACAAACACTGTTCTCGCCTCTCAGCCCAGACCCATCAGTGCACCCCGGGGCTGCTGAGTTCCCGAGTCTGCGCCTTGCGGAGCTGCCTGGGCTCCAGCTGAGCCTCCGTCAGCCCTGGGGTGGCCGGCCTGCCATTGCATGGGGACGGATGCTGTCCCCAGCAGCGCAGGGGAGTGAGCCATGCTTCCCGGGGTGGAGGCGCTCAGGAAGCACACCACCGCCCTCTCCCCACCAGCCGAGTTTGTCCTGCGGTGGATGGACGTCGGCCTGTCCTCGGAGTTCCTGCTGGTGCTTGTGAACCTGGTCAAGTTTAACAGCTGCTACCTTGATGAGTACATCGCACCAATGGTCCAGTAAGGAGAGAATGCTGAGACATAGCTCTGGTTGTAGTCGCACTGTCTTGGGTCCTTAGTTCAGTTCTGCAGGGTAAATAAAGCTGTTGAAACTATCAGATAAATGGAGAAGTTGGAAGTGCCCATGGCCATGTTTCACTTAAGTTGCTATTTTAAGACTCAGTACAGTATGTTATTTTTAACGAATGTATAATACTACTTGATATTTTACTTGTTAAGATTTTTGTTGTCATTTTCTCAAACCACTCCATGATGTCCCTAGGGTAGGGTCAGGTCTCAGTGGTGCTGTGTGCCCAGCCCAGAGCTGGCACAACGGCTCCCGCCTGTTTGTGGTGAGTGGAGCCCTAGAGGAGGACGACCCCTTGTAAAACAGACTGTGTGGAATCATCAGAAAGTAAAAGAGCTACACAGCCTCTGGGAAAGTCTTTTCAGTTGACAGTTGACTCTGTGCCTCCTTCAACAGCATGATCTGCCTGCTGTGCGTCCAGACTGTGTCCTCCGTGGACATAGAGGTCAGTAGCTGCCTTTCCAGGAATGGCTTCTTTTGCTCCCCTTCTGGGAAGGTCAGGTGGCAGAGCAGGTGAGACCCTGGGCTCTGGGGTCAAGCCTTGTGCTGCCCCTTACTGGCTCCGTGGCCCTAGGCAAGCTGCTCAGCCGCTGGGAGCCTCAGGGCTTCCTCCTGTCAGTGGGGATGACGGGATGGCCTCTGCCACAGGGTCACACTGGGGAGGGGAGGGCCCACAATGGTGGGGTATAGAGGTGTTCTCTGGGTGCCCCCTGGCTCTTGTGGGTCCAAGGAAGGCTGCTTTGGCAGTGGGGAGGTCGGCAGTCTGGCCAAAGGAGGGAGGGGAGGGGCGGGGCCGGGGCTGTCACCACCTCACCCGCAGGAGTCGGCAGGGCTGGCATGATCACCCCTGTGCCCGCCAGGTCTCCCTGCAAGTGCTGGATGCTGTGGTCTGCTACAACTGCCTGCCTAAACACTGTTCTCGCCTCTCAGCCCAGACCCATCAGTGCACCCCGGGGCTGCTGAGTTCCCGAGTCTGCGCCTTGCGGAGCTGCCTGGGCTCCAGCTGAGCCTCCGTCAGCCCTGGGGTGGCCGGCCTGCCATTGCATTGGGACGGATGCTGTCCCCAGCAGCGCAGGGGAGTGAGCCATGCTTCCCGGGGTGGAGGCGCTCAGGAAGCACACCACCGCCCTCTCCCCACCAGCCGAGTTTGTCCTGCGGTGGATGGACGTCGGCCTGTCCTCGGAGTTCCTGCTGGTGCTTGTGAACCTGGTCAAGTTTAACAGCTGCTACCTTGATGAGTACATCGCACCAATGGTCCAGTAAGGAGAGAATGCTGAGACATAGCTCTGGTTGTAGTCGCACTGTCTTGGGTCCTTAGTTCAGTTCTGCAGGGTAAATAAAGCTGTTGAAACTATCAGATAAATGGAGAAGTTGGAAGTGCCCATGGCCATGTTTCACTTAAGTTGCTATTTTAAGACTCAGTACAGTATGTTATTTTTAACGAATGTATAATACTACTTGATATTTTACTTGTTAAGATTTTTGTTGTCATTTTCTCAAACCACTCCATGATGTCCCTAGGGTAGGGTCAGGTCTCAGTGGTGCTGTGTGCCCAGCCCAGAGCTGGCACAACGGCTCCCGCCTGTTTGTGGTGAGTGGAGCCCTAGAGGAGGACGACCCCTTGTAAAACAGACTGTGTGGAATCATCAGAAAGTAAAAGAGCTACACAGCCTCTGGGAAAGTCTTTTCAGTTGACAGTTGACTCTGTGCCTCCTTCAACAGCATGATCTGCCTGCTGTGCGTCCAGACTGTGTCCTCCGTGGACATAGAGGTCAGTAGCTGCCTTTCCAGGAATGGCTTCTTTTGCTCCCCTTCTGGGAAGGTCAGGTGGCAGAGCAGGTGAGACCCTGGGCTCTGGGGTCAAGCCTTGTGCTGCCCCTTACTGGCTCCGTGGCCCTAGGCAAGCTGCTCAGCCGCTGGGAGCCTCAGGGCTTCCTCCTGTCAGTGGGGATGACGGGATGGCCTCTGCCACAGGGTCACACTGGGGAGGGGAGGGCCCACAATGGTGGGGTATAGAGGTGTTCTCTGGGTGCCCCCTGGCTCTTGTGGGTCCAAGGAAGGCTGCTTTGGCAGTGGGGAGGTTGGCAGTCTGGCCAAAGGAGGGAGGGGAGGGGCGGGGCCGGGGCTGTCACCACCTCACCCGCAGGAGTCGGCAGGGCTGGCATGATCACCCCTGTGCCCGCCAGGTCTCCCTGCAAGTGCTGGATGCTGTGGTCTGCTACAACTGCCTGCCCGCCGAGAGCCTGACCCTCTTCCTTGTCACCCTGTGCCGCACCGTCAACGCCAAGGAGCTGTGTGGGCCCTGCTGGAAGGTGGGTTCCTCCTGGGTGAGGGCAGGGCAGGCACGTGGGTGGCCCAAGGCCGTGTTGCCTTCAAAGAAGGGTCATCTGATTTTCAGGGTGTCCAGAGAATGGCCTGCTGGGGGAAACCCCACGGCTGAGCAGAGGTTGAGGCTTTTGTGGTGTTTTGAGAACTCAGCTGCCCACAAGTTTGGTAGGAGACAGTGGAGTGTTGGCTGGACACAGATGCTTTCCGGGCAGTGGCTGTGCAAGGCGGGCACGCGGGGCCCAGGGCTGGGGCCATCTTGTCTCAAATAATGTTGCATCTTATTTCCCAGCTGATGCGCAACCTACTGGGCACCCACTTGGGCCACAGTGCCATCTACAACATGTGCCGCCTCATGGAGGACAGGCAAGTGCCAGGGCCGGGCTGCCCCAGGAGCTGCCCAGCCTTCCCGAGGAGGCTTGACCTGGCACGCCTACCTGGGAGGCTTCTGTCCCTTGAGTGGTTGCTCAGGGAGCCACCCTGAAGTCGGGTATATGTCTTCGTGCCCCTCATCTCCTGCCCCTCTTCCTGTCAGTCAAGTCAGAGTGTCCAAAACTGCACTTGTGACCTCCTTCCCATGCTTGGCTCCCCTCCAGTGGGGCTGCCTCACCATTCACCCTGCCCCAGGGCCCTGGCCCTCAGCTCCCACCGCCACACGCTCACAGTTCTGCTGCTCCTGCCCCGTGAGACAGCTCAGGTCTGCCCGCTGGGAGGCCTCTTCCCCCGGCCCTCGGCTTTCCCTTCCTCGCTGGTCTCGTGCACCCACTCTGGGCCTCCTCAAGTCCATTCCTCCCGCTAGCAGCCACCTGCTCTCTTCCAACACAGACCTGACTGTCACTCTTTGCTTGAGGCCGCAGTGGCTCCCAGTGCTCTCAGGATTAAAAACCAAGCTCCCCGGCATGACAGGCCTCTGCATGTACCCTCTTCTCTTGCTGGGATGTCCTTCTGCCTTGGGCCAGTTTCTCTGCATGTTCCTTGGTGTCTTATCATGGTCACTGTTTCCCTGATGGTCCTGAGCAGCCTTAGCTGTCATATCCCATGGCTTTCCTTCTTAGCTGTAATTTGAGATAGAAACTTGGCATTTATCATGTGCTCCTTCGGCTGACACCTGCGAGTCTTAGACTCTGAGCGCCGGGAGGCTGAGGGCCTCGTCTCTCTCACTTTCATGCCCCGGTGTCGGGGTGGCTCTGTGCTTGGCAGTGATGACCCTGAGTGAACGCATGAAGGAACGAACCAGCTCTGCTGGCCTCCGTGTGCTCTGCCCAGAGCCCCTTCCCCAGCTTTGTTTCTGACCCATAAGCGTAGGGGCTCTGGGGAGGCTGCCAGGAGCCTGGGCCTGTGCTCAGGCCCTGTTGCGGGCAGATGCCGGGCCCGGGCTCTGCTTATGTCTCGTCTCTCTCCGGAATGCTTTCAGAGCCTACATGGAGGATGCCCCACTGCTGAGGGGAGCTGTGTTTTTCGTTGGTATGGCTCTTTGGGGAGCCCACCGACTCTATTCTCTCAAGAACTCTCCGACATCCGTGCTGCCGTCGTTTTATGAGGTAACTCAGTCTCTGCACTACGGCGAGCTGGTGGGAGCTGGAGCACTCCCCTTGGTCCAGGTGGGCACAGGCCTCTCAGATGGGGCTCTGCTGTGGGTTGTGCTGGCACTTCCAGCCCTGGGGCTGAGCTTTAGGGTCACTGAAGGTTTTATTTTCAAGCAGACATACCTTAGGGATATTACCTCCCGGGAGTCAGTGTCAGAGCTCCTGGAGGTCCCCCGGCGGCACAGCGTTCTCCCCGGTGACAGGTTCATTTTATCAAGCAGTAACTACTCTCGCTCTAGAAGGAGGCCCCTGAGACAGCTTCTGTTCTGTGGTGCCCAGCAGTGTGGAGCACTTTTTTAGGCATTTTTTTTTTTCCATTAAGGTATGATTGATATACACTCTTATGAAGGTTTCACATGAAAAGCAGTGTGGTTACTACATTTACCCATATTATCAAGTCCCCACCCAAGCCCCAATGCAGTCATTGTCCGTTAGTGCAGCAAGATGCCGCAGATCCACTATGTGCCTTCTCGGCGCTACACTGTTCTCCCAGTGACCCCCCCCACCATATGTACGAAACATAATACCCCTCAGTCCCTCCTCCCTCCCTCCCCGCCCGCCCTCCCCCACCCCTCCTCTTTGGTGCCACTAGTTCATTCTTGGAGTCTCTGAGTCTGCTGCTGTTTTGTTCCTTCAGTTTTGCTTCATTGTTGTACTCCACAAATGAGGGAAATCATTTGGCACTTGTCTTTCTCCATCTGGGCATGTTTTTATGTAGTCCCAGCACCCTGGCGAGCTGGGTGGCCACACCATTCCCATCCTGACCCAGTGAGCTGTGTGGTGCGCAGGGCCATGCGGTCTGCTGGGCAGCTGCCCCCTGCTGTGCCCTTGCTGCGGGCTGCGGAGGCCTGCTCCGCACTGCCTGCATCATGCGTTTCAGGTTCCACAAGGCCAAGGAGCCGGGGGCCTGGGGCTCTAAGTTAGGGGTCTGGCTGAGTCAGGCCCTTTGGAGCCAGTACGGAAAGCAGGTTCTGGGCCCCTAAGATACTCCTTCCGTGGCCTGGGGACTGAGGGGGGGCGAGCTCCTCTCAGGCATCCCCCACTGGGTTCTGGGGGCGACATGATGGAGCTTCCTAGGTGTGCCCAAGGAGCAGCTGACCCTGCCCGCCCGCCGGGCCACTTGTTTCAGGCCATGACGTGTCCCAACGAGGTGGTGTCCTACGAGGTCGCGCTGTCCATGACCAGACTCATCAAGAAGCACGGGGGGGGGCTCCAGGCCGCGACGTGGGACATTCTGCTGGACATCATCGGACGCCTGCTTCAGCAGCTCCGGGTGAGGTGGGGAGAAGGCTGCGGGCATGGGGAGGGCTGACGCCTCAGGCTGGCATGCCAGAGGGCCCTGCCTTACACCCGGGACCCTCGGTCAGAGCCTTCTGGGCGGCGTTCTCTGGTGGTTCCGAGTGGTGTCGACTCATTCACTGAAGATGGCTGGTTCTTCCAAACCCGCTCCATCATTTGGATCAGGAATGTGTAGTAGCTGAGCATGGGGGTGGGGCTGGTGTTGATCAAGACCAACAGTAACACACCAGTATCACCTCTGTAGCCTCTAAGTGTGGACCCTGAAGATAGTTCCCAGAGTGTCTAATATGCCAACTACGGCTCGGGTGTTCATTCAGAGGACAGCACTGGCTGCAGCAGGGAAGAGGACACGCTGATGCAAGAGTGGCAGAGGGCACGAGGCCACAGCAAGCTTGGGCTCAGGGCTAGGCTCTCAGGTTGGGGATGGGCAGTGGGCAGGCGGCCAGACCAGGGAGGAAGGATTGGATTCTTGTCCCTCAGGGCCTGACTGCTGGCTCAGACCATCGTCACTGACTGGCTGGCCAGGCAGTGCTTCATTCAGGAGTGGCAGGCCGGGAGGTCGTCCTGCTGGGGCCTCCAGAAGCCCTGTGAGCCTGCAGAGGCAGGCGCGTATTCGTGGTTGGGCTCTTGGAGGCCTGCTGCATGGGCATAGCCAGAATCCCTGGGTCCACCATTCCCCAGCTAGGCAGGAATAGCCCCGGTTGCCCCACGTGTCCCAGCACCCTGGGGTCATGCTGCCTGCCCAGCGGGAAGGCCTGAGTGGGTGCCCAGACACAGCATAATCAAGCCATGGCCTCTGTTGCTGCATTCCTGGGGGGGCCGAAGTCACTCCTGTGAAACTCTGCCTTCACGCGCAGGGCCTGGGCAGCCCGGAGCTCGGAAGCCGCACCCACGACCTGCTGACCGCTGTGGAGGAGCTCTGTGATCAGAATGAGTTCCACGGCTCCAGGGACAGATACTTCGAGCTTGTTGAGAGATGTGCAGACCAGAGGCCTGTAAGACCACCTCTTCCCCAAGCCCGGTGGGCCTTTGGTGGCCAGGCAAGGAGGTGGTGTAGGCCAGGCCACCAGAGGAGGGGCGTGCTGCTCGGCTCTGGGAGCCCTGGTTGTGCGGGTCTCAGACCACATTCTATGTGAGTTCAGGGCCCAGCAGGCTCCTGCTCTCCCGGGATTTGAGCTCCAGCAGTGAAGCCTGCCGGAGTGTGGGCAGCTGCGCACGCAGGGGTTAGAGCACGGCACGAGCCTGGCCAGCAGGCTCCTGCCTGTGCAGAGGAGGGCGCTGCGGCTCCTGTATGCTGCTGCTCAGGCACCAGGCAGCCCTCATGCCAGAAATGCTCACCTGGGCGTGAAAGCTTTGATGTGGGTTTTCAGTGAATATTCACTGCTGCCAGGAGGGCCTCTGTCCTGTGGGCTCTGCCAGCCAGGCCTTTAGGTGGCGGGTCTCAGTGAGCAGGCCTCCCCGGGGCCAGCAGCACAGGGCGTGTTACAGGAAGGGCTGAGTGGCCCCTTGACTCCAGGTTTTCTTTTGACAGGAGTCCTCCCTCTTAAACTTAATAACCTACAGGGCTCAGTCGATCCATCCGGCCAAGGATGGCTGGATTCACAACCTGCAGGCACTGATGGAGCGATTCTTCAGGTAGGGGCCTCTGGAGGCCTGCTTGGGCCCTGGGCCTGGGTCTAGGACACTAGGTCACTGCTGTCCTTTCTGGTCCTTGAAAGTAGCAGTTCTCACTGAGCAGAAAAAGGTTTGTTTTCCAGTGGGACAGAGCCCTTCGAGGCCTCTGCGCTTCCTTCCTCCTGTGGAGTGGTTGTCCAGAAAGATGGTGTCTCTGAGGGCCAAGCTCCCCAGCCCTTTGCCCAGGCCTTGGTCTGGAGGTCAAGGAGCTGGGCCAGGGTTGGTCTCGCCCACCTCCGAGGTGGTGGGCCTGGGGCTGGCAGCTGGCTCCCGTAGCCCCAGCAACTGTGCCCTCACCCCCAGGCATGAGTCCCGCAGCGCTGTGCGCATCAGGGTGCTGGATGTCCTGTCCTTCGTGCTGCTTATCAACAGGCAGTTCTACGAGGTGCGTGTCCTGGGGCTGGCGGGGGGCCCTGGCCCAGCAGGTGCGAAGGTGGGCTTTGTGAGCCCCTGGGGTCTGCCAAGCACCCCTGTGAGCAGGCTTTTCTCAGAAGGCTTTGTTCACCATTAGATTTGCTCATCATTTATCCCGAGGTGCCCTGCCAGGCCTGTGCTGGGTCTGGAGGTGCAGCTGAGCAGCCAGTGGGGTGGGGCAGGTCACTGTTGCAACCCCTGGGGAGCTTGGGCCTGGTTGTCACCCGGAACAGAAAAGACTTCCCAACGAGTCTTGTATGGTGCTGATTTCCTTCTGTTTTTGTATTCACACTTACTCTTCAGACCCTGGCCCCATCACCAGGTTACCTGCCAGTCTTCCCCTCCATTCCACCTTCTACTAGGTGTGCGGCCAAAGTCCACACGTCCTTCAGAAACATCAGTGCACCCCTGCCCTCCATGCCCTTCGCTCTAGGAGATGCGCATCAGGCTGTGTGTGCCTTCCCCTGCCTCCTAGCACACCTCTGTGCCGTGGCCTTGCTAGGATTCCCAGTGTTCCTGGGACCTGCTGCCCCCTCCTACCCTCTCCACCTTCCCTCTACCTACATCTCTGTCCCTTGGACTCCTAGCCCCCTTAAGTCTAGCTCAGTGCCGCCTCTTCCAGGAAGCCCCTCTGGATGGGCAAGGCCCTCACATCAGGGTCAGTCTCATCCTGCTCTCTGTTCCTGTGGTGTGTGTACCTGCCTCTGAAAGCTCTTGCCACGCTGTCCCATTGTAGCAGACTGATGTTGGGGATAAGTCTTTCTATCCCCAGTGCACACACACAGAGGGCATTTCACGTACAGTCATTCTTAATTGTGACAGTCATCGACAAAGTGCATGTGGGGACCCTGCCACCTCACGTATGAGCCCATGCTTGCTTGGGCCATTGTGTAGCCATCATTATTCTGAGCCCAGGGGTGTGCAGACCACAGACAGATCCCTACCATGGTTTCCCCGTCTTGAATGACAGGTTGCTGCCTTTTGGCCTCTGTCACTGATGGCTCCCCTGCCCTCCTTGTGCTTGGTGCAGGAGGAGCTGATCAACTCAGTGGTCATCTCGCAGCTCTGCCACATCCCCGAGGATAAAGACCACCAAGTCCGAAAGCTGGCCACCCAGCTGCTGGTCGACCTGGCTGAAGGCTGCCACACCCACCACTTCAACAGCCTGCTGGATGTCATTGAGAAGGTGAGAGCCGCGTGGCCCGGGACTTGGTGCCTTGCTGCAGGGGGACCCCTAGAGCCTCTGTCCCTGCTCTCTGCAGAGTTGGAGCTCGGTCTCAGAGGCACAGTTTTCCTCCCAGTGGAGGGGCAGTGTGGGGAGGAGGCTGTGGCCTCGTCCCACAGGAGCTGGGCTCGGGGCTCAGGGCCAGCATCCTGCACAGCCTGCACCTTGGCTTTTAGTTCTGTGCTTTCTGAATGGCCCCGCAGGAGTGTGGAGTGCATTTTCCCGTTTGAGGAATAAAGGGGAAGGTCATCCCTGACGGAAGTTCTGGGTCTGAGGGTTGCTGCAGGGAACCCAGAGCTGGGGGTTCAGATGCAGATCTCTCCGAAGGTGATTGGCCGCCCCCTCTCTCCACCCCTCGAGCTGGAGGAAAGAGACGTGGCAGCATACTCAGCTTCCTTGGAAGATGTGAAGACAGCGGTCCTGGGGCTCTTGGTCATCTTGCAGGTGGGCCTCTGGGAGGGGTGGCCTTTGCTCTTCTGGGAGGGTGTGACGACCAGCTGCATCCTGTAGGCAGGCTGGTCTTCGGGGACACATCCCTTGGGAGACCTGGTCACCCCCTGGGCATTGCAGAGGGCAGCCTGGGTGTGATCCTGACTCCTTGTCACGGCCGGGAGGACTTGGTGAGAGCCCCTGGGGACAGGTGGGTGAGGCCTGGCCGGAGCCAGCCTGTGGGGCCTCCACTGAGTCAGGGCCGGAACCACGTCCTTGGCCCTCCTTGTAGCAGCTGAGGCCGGAAGCCATCTATTGCAGCCCCACTTTTTGTTTGTTAACTTCATTGAGGTGTAATTCACGTGCCATATAGCTCACTCATTAGAAGTGTGTGATTCATTGGTTTTAGGATGTTCTGTGTAGCTGTCACCACAGACAGTTTTAGAACAGCTTCATCACCCTGAAGTACCCCAGTGCCATCTGCACTCACACCCCATTCTCCCCCATCAGCCCGGCTCCTGGCAATCACTCATCTGCTTTCTGTCTCTGTGAATTCACCTCTTCTGAAAATTTCATTGAAATGGAATCCTAATGTATGTGATTTTTTTGTGTCTGGCATCTGTCACTGCACGTAACGTCTTCAAGAGTCCTCACGGGTCAGTTCTTTGTTTTTTTTCATGGCTGAATAATACCCCACTGTGTGCGCTACACCAGTTTGCATGTCCATTCATCAGTTGATTGGCACTGGGGTTGTTTGTACCTTTTGGCTACAAATGAGCATTCGGGTCTGTTTCTGCGGCTGTGTTTATTCCTCTTGGGCGGACCCCTAGGCACGCAGTTGCCGGGCCAGGTAGTAGCTCTCTGCGTGGTTGTGTGACTAGCTGCCTGTTTCCATTCTGAGCAGCAATAACTCACTGTGGTTCTGATGTGCATTTTTTCCCTAATAACTGTGGAGCAGCTTTCATGTACCAGGGCCATTTGTACATTTCTTTGGAGAAAAGTCTGTTCAGATCTTTTGCCCATTTTGTAATTGAGCTGTTTGTCTTTTTATTGAATTGTAAGAGTTTTTCTATCCTGGATACAAGTCCTTAATCAGTTAGATGATTTGCACATGTTCACATCCCCATTTTCCCTGCACTGTGCTCACCCTGCTGGGTGGTGGCTGTCCTCGTGCTCCCTGGTGCCGCCTGGTGCCCAGGGCTGCTGGGGCTGTGGCCACACGCCTTTGTGTCCAAGGCAGCCTCTGCCCCAGCTGGGTGTGACTGCATCCCTTCTGCCGGCCGCCGCACCTTGGTTACCGATTTTCAAAGCATCACAGTGTCACTTCAGTTCCTTGCCACTGTCAGTATTGTGTAAAATGTAACGTTTGAATCAGTTGACTCAAAAACTTCTAGTTCATAAAACATCAGATAGTAGAACAATTTCCCAAAAGGTTTATATGCTGGGTCTTTATTTTCTGGTATGAAATTTGAAGTGTTTCGTAGAAGCTGGACAGCACCTCCTTGGTGTCCCTTCCTGAGGACCCTCTGCTCTTGAGGTAGTGAGGTAGTGTCCAGCTGTGTGAGATAGTGTGCTGGCCACCTGTGCCCTGCAGGTGCCCAGCCACAGGAGGGAGAAGGGCCAGTGTGTTGCCCTCACTTGAAAGTCCTGCCCTGACCCGAGGGCTGGGGTGCCAGAGCCGAGCTATTTCCTGGTTGAGAAAAAGTCCCGGGCAGGGCTGTACTCTTCTCCCTTTTTTTTTTCTTTTTTCTTTTTGTTTTTTTTTGAGAGGGCATGTCTCATATTTATTGATCAACTGGTTGTTAACAACAATAAAATTCTGTATAGGGGAACTCAATGCACAATCATTAATCAACCCCAAGCCTAGTTCTCAACAGTCTCCAATCTTCTGAAGCATAACGAACAAGTTCTTACATGGTGAACAAGGTCTTACATGGTGAGCAGTGCAAGGGCAGTCATATCACAGAAACTTTCGGTTTTGATCATGCATCACGAACTATAAACAATCAAGTCAGATATGATTATTCGTTTGATTTTTATACTTGATAAATGTGAACCCCACATTTGTCCCTTATTATTATTATTTTTTAATAAAATGCTCAAGTGGTAGGTAGATGCAAGATAAAGGTAGAAAACATAGTGTAGTGCTGTAAGAGGGCAAATGTAGATGATCAGGTGTGTGCCTGTAGACTATGTGTTAATCCAGGCTAGACAAGGGCAGCAAAACATCCACGGATGCAGAAGATTTCTCTCAAAGCAGGGGGGATGAGGTTCTGAGCCTCACCTCTGTTGATCCCCAAATTCTCACCTGATGGCCCCCCTGCGACTGTGCCTGTCTTAGGTTGTTCCTCCCTTGAGGAATCTTACCCGTCTCTGGCTAACCAGTCATCTTCCGGGGCCATACAGGGAAATGTAAAGTTGGTAAGTGAGAGAGAAGCCATATTGTTTGCAAAGGTTAGCTTTTTACTTCTTTGCAGATTTATGCCCTGTGGCTTCTATGCCCAGCATTTGTCTTGAGGTATCTTTACTCTTTTCCCTTTTTATAACTAAAAAGTAACATGTGTCCAGTTGGAGTGTGCCAGCAGCGAACAGCCCAAAGCTCCATTTCCTCCCTGCCTCCCGCCAAAACGTCCCGAGTCCTCAGTGCCCTTCCTGAAATGGCCTGCATTGCCAGACAGCCAAACTGCCCCTTCTTTTTTTTTGTCTGGAAGGCAGGGGTAGTGCTTCTACGTGTGTTGTGAAGCAAGGGCAGAGAGTGTTGTCAGTCAATTTTTTGGTCATTACTAAGTGCGCACGTGGTACTGTGCTGTGTGCGGAAGCCCCTGGGGTGGACCTGCGGCTTGAAGGGTCTGCATTTAGAAGAGTGGTAGATGATGCCAGTTACTAGGCCCAGTCCCCCCCCCTGGCACCAGGGCGCATTTGGCCTCTGGCTTGCAGTGACCAGCATGCTCTCTCTGTAGACCAAACTGTATGCCTTGCCTGCCAGCCATGCCACACGTGTGTACGAGATGCTGGTCAACCACATTCAGCTGCACTATAAGCACAGCTATACCCTGCCCATCGCCAGCAGCATTCGGCTGCAGGTAAGCTGGGAGGGGCAGTGGTCAGTGGATGTGGTAGAGTCCAGCCACACCTTGGAGCTGGCCATGGGTGGGTTCCCTTGGGGGGCCAGTATAGCTGCCCATCTTGGCAGCTGCACTGACCACAGGCTGGAGAGGTGGTAGGTGGCCTTGGGAGGCTGAGGTCTTCCCAGAGGCTGCTCCATCTTCCTGTCTCTGTGGCATGTCCTTTGAGTCACACACCTTGGATGGGGACAGAGACGGGATTGCACCAACTTTCAGGGTGGCATGTGGGACTGCGGAGCCTGTAGGCAGGGCAGGTTAGGGTGGGCGGGGCAGGGCCAGACAGACTGCTCTGAGCTGAGCAGAGGTCCCTGTGAGCTTTCATCCCTCCCAAAGCATCTGCCTGATGGGGCAGCCCTCTGTCACTTGGGAAGCCTGGTTAACTGGTCGTCGTTGGCTGGAGGAAGTGATGATGGCCTGGGCAGGGCTCTGCTTCCCGACTCCTGGAGCTGGGTCGTGGTGTCCAGCCAGCATGCGGGGCACCCATCCCCTGTGTCCCAGGGTGGGCCCAGCAGCCCCTGGTAGCCCAGCTGCTGTGGCCATATCCTGGCCTGTGGGCTCTGGGGGAGGAGGCTGTGAGGCCTGCGCCTCACTGCCCGGTGCCATGGCATGGGGGCAGGGGCTGGACTGGATAGGCTGGGTGCTGCCCCGTGCTCTTCTCTGTAGGCCTTTGACTTCCTGCTGCTGTTGCGAGCGGACTCACTGCACCGCCTTGGCCTGCCCAACAAGGATGGCGTCGTGAGGTTCAGCCCGTACTGCCTCTGTGACTACACGTATGCGGCCCTGTGCCTCCCACCGCCACCACCCCAGCCCTGCCGCCTTGGGTTCAGGGGCCTGGTGGGTGGAGCTAGCTGCCCTGCACCCTGGGTGTCCTGGCGTACCCCAGGAAAGCCCCAGAGGGATTCTGATGGCAGCCCAGGGTTGGGGCTGGGGGTCTGTGTCTGTGGAGTGGGGGCTTCAGCCTTGGTGCCTCTCGACCTTCGCTTCCACAGGGAGCCCGAGCGGGGCTCTGAAAAGGCTGGGGGCCCCCTGTCACCTCCCACCGGGCCCCCGGGCCCAGCGCCCACAGGCCCCACCGTGCGGCCCGGCTCACTGCCCTACAGCCCGCTCTTCCGCGTCCTGCTGCGGTGTCTGAAGCAGGTGAGGTGGCAGGTTCCTGGGGCTGTGCTCCCGTCAGACTGAGCACTGAGGGGTGCTGCCTGGAGGGCACAGTGTGACTGCGGGAAGTTTGCCACCTTGGTTGGGTCGGCGGCGGCCCAAGGCTCCACGGCAGCTCTGTAGCCATGCACTATGCACCATGTGGAGCCGAACTGACGGCATTGCTGCCTGCCTCACAGGGTGGCTTCGGTACCAGACTAAGGGTTGCAGGCTTACTCCTGGAATCTCCAAGCAGGGCGTGCACAGACAGGCTGAGGAGACTGAAAGGGGGGTGCAGCCCCATCTGGTTGTGGGCACCTGCAGTGGCAGGTGAGGCTTTGAAAGGTGGGGGAGTTTCCAGTGGCAGGAGTCAGTGAAGCCTGGAGTAGGGTAGGGAGGGGGTTCTGTTGGTGGGAGATACAGCAGGGGCAGAGACGTGGAGGTGTGAGACTTCAGTCCTGCACCCTAACGGGCCAGTGAAAGAGAAGTGGTCAGCGGTGTGCCCCGGGCAGGGCTGGGGCCTGGATGGGGAGGCAGGGCCAGGCTCCCTGGGGCCCCAGACGTTGCCACTGATGGGATCCGTCGGGGATTTCCTGAGAGTCTCACAGCCTCTGTCATAACTGGAATCTGGGACAGGCTTTTGGGATCCGTGGCCATTGGTGCAGCACGTGGGCAGGCAGGTGGGGGCCACGATGTGCCTCCTTGTGCTGCGGCCCTGGGTCCATCGTGGTCCTGTAACAGGTATCCGGGCTTTGGATCATCGAGGAGCACTCGCTGCTTTCCCCTTTGAGCCAGCATAACAGCTTTCCTCCCACTGCGTCTTCACTGTGCCCCAGGCGGGCATCAGTCAGGACCCTAGACGGGTGGCCTCTGGGGCACCGGGGCGTGAGCGGGGAAGGCGGAGCCAAGTGTGTGGAGATTCCAGGTCCAGCTGAGGGGAGAGAGGAGGCGTCAGCTCTGTGCCTGGCTTCCCAGTCAGCCTGGCGTCTGGAGGGCAGCTGCCGACTTTCTCTGAGTGGCATCTGCTCCTGCAGGTGTAGGGACGGAGAGCCAAGGTCTGTGCATCAAATAGGAGAAGGGGTCTGGGGGTTCCCTATCCACCCAGCTCCAAGCACAGCTTCAAACTCTGGAACCCCAACTTTCCTCTTGGGGGTCCAGACAGCCCTGCACCCCCTGACCACCCCCTTTTCCTGCAGGAGACCGACTGGAAGGTACTGAAGCTTGTGCTCGGCAAGCTTCCTGAGTCACTGCGCTATAAGGTCCTCATTTTCACCTCTCCGTGCAGCGTTGACCAGCTCTCTTCTGCCCTCTGCTCCATGGTAAAGCCGCGCCCCTCTGCTTCAGGCCCTTGCGCCCCTCTGTGTGGCCTTCAAGACCTGTCTTGGGGCTCTGGTGTGGTGGGAAGGGCCGCAGCACAGCTCCTCCCTCCTCCAAAGACTTGGAGGCCCTGGGGCACACTGAGGAGACAGATGGCCCTTCAGAGATGCGACCTGTCTGGAGAGCAGGTTATGCCTCTGGGTACCCTGTCCTCCTAATTGGATGTCCCTAATGAAGGGCTTGAGTCCTGTCTCTGGCTTCCTTGTGGGGCTCCTGTGACATGTGCATCACATCTCCTCTGTCCTTAGAGCGGCACAGTGGGCACCCTCCTACCCCTCTGAAAGACCAGGTAGCAGTTGGCCTCACCACCTGGCAGTGCTTCACACCTGAGCCTTGGTCATTAGCTTTCAGGCCCCAAGACCCTCGAGCGGCTCCGAGGCACCCCAGAAGGGTTCTCCAGAACCGACCTGCATCTGGCCGTGGTTCCTGTGCTGACAGCATTAATTTCTTACCATAAATACTTGGACAAAACCAGACAGGTACCAGATACGAGAGGGACAGGAAAGCTTTGCAGGACCTGGCGTTTGAAAGCCTGGCTTCCGGGATGTTATCACTGTGACCAGACAGGCCCAACATCTTCCTGGCCTGGGTGGCTGCTAGGCCAGGGAGTTGGCCTTGCTTCCCTGTGTGACCCCAGCTGCTAGCTTGGCCTGGGACTGTGGACATTTGAATCCACGGGTGTTTGTGAGTCATCCTCTTGGGGGTGTGGGCTTAGTGCAGCGCTGGCATGGCCCTCTCCTGACCCCGCGGGCAGTGTCTTTTCTTTCTGAGGAGTATTGCCTGGCTTGGCCTTGCTGCACTTTTAGGGTAGGTGCCAAGCTACTTGGCAGAGCTGGGCCTGTTTTGAGAGGGCGGCCTGGCGTGGGGCCCCTGCCTTCTGTCTACGCCTGCACCTGTTGTGAGGTACAAAGAGCGTACGTAGTAACCCCCATTTCCTTTATTCCGCGCTGCTGGACGCGGGGCCTGCCCTGCTGTCCTTTTCACTACTGTATTTCCTTTCCTGATGCTGTCACTGCCTTACTGACCAGGGACCCGAAGACTTAGAGTGTGTCGGGCAGCCTGCTCTAGGTCCTGGCCCAGTCAGCCTGGCGGTGTCAGCTGCCGCTCTCGCGCTGAGGGAGCCGGCTCACCAGCATGGCTGTCCACGGGCAGGGGTGCAGAGGGCTGGCCTGTGGTGGCCCAGGTCAGAGGCCACCATGCTGTCCTGCAGCGGGAGCTGGTGTACTGTCTGGAGCAAGGCCTCATCCATCGCTGTGCCAGCCAGTGCGTGGTGGCCCTGGCCACCTGCAGCGTGGAAATGCCCGACGTCATCATCAAGGCGCTGCCCGTCCTGGTTGTGAAGCTCACGCACATCTCGGCCACAGCCAGCATGGCCATTCCACTCCTTGAGTTCCTGTCAAGTAAGTGTCTGCGGCCTTGCGTGTGTGTGAGTGAGACCGTGGGGTGGACTCTTCAGTTGGGGGCTGTGCCCTGCCCAGAGTAACCTGTCCTGGCTTCTCTGGCCCCATCTTGTGACCTCTTTGGCTGCATGTAGACACACTGTCCTCCATGAGACACCTGGGCATGGCCTCCCTCTGCTGCCTCAGGGCCTTTGCACATCCGGCCCCTGTGCCTTGAATGCTGTCCTTCCTGGTCTTTGGTAGCGGCTCTTTTCTTGCCCTTAGTGTTAGTTTAAATAACACAGAAACCTGCCATTAGCCTGGCTCTCAGCTGCCTCTTTATCCCCAACAAGGCACACACTACAGCTTGGAGGGGCTGTGCGGACTGCCCGCTCACATGGTGACTCCAGGAGTGTGGAGTGCCTTGCGCCCCTTCATTGTCTGTGCCCTGGTGTGTGTCTGCCCTGTGGAGAGTGGACAGCAGGGGTAGAGTGGGGCCACCAGGATGTCTGAGGGATTCATATGGCCTCTGCTACATGTTCTTTTTGTTCACAACCCTTTAAAGATGTAAAATCCATTCTTAGGTTGTAGAACAACCCAAGGCAGGCCACTGGCCAGGTCCGGCCTGGTCCACAGTTTGCCAGCCTTGGAATCCAGAGCTGTGGCCCAGGGTGAGGGGAAGGCCATGTTTGGGTGGACCGCAGCCTGTGTTCCTCAGCAGCCCTCTTGGGTCAGAACGGTGGCACTGGCTTTCGGAAGCAGCAGTGTGGGACCCCACGGCGTGGCTCGGCCCTTACTGCCTGTCCCCTGTGTTGCAGCTCTGGCCCGGCTGCCTCACCTCTACAGGAACTTCGCAGCAGAGCAGTACGCGAGTGTGTTTGCCATCTCTCTGCCATATACCAATCCCTCCAAGTGAGTTTTGGCTCACCCTCGTGGCCGTGGCCAGGCCTCTCGGGGCAGAAAGCCAGCTGGGTTCTGTGGCCCTGGAGCCTCTGACCCTGGTTTCCAGCTCCAGCATGTCTGTCCCCTGGGATGGGCTCTGGCACTTCCCTTTTCTTCTTGTTACAGGTTCAATCAGTACATTGTGTGCCTGGCTCATCACGTCATAGCCATGTGGTTCATCAGGTGCCGCCTGCCCTTCCGGAAGGACTTCGTTCCCTATATCACTAAGGTGGGCCAGTGGGACCTGCTTGGCCGCAGGTGGTCCCTGGCTGAGCAGGGTGATGGGCAAGGGAGAGAGGTGGGATGTGTTTGGTACTGTTATCTGGGTGCCTGGGTTCAGCTGAGCCAGTCCCCCTGGGACTTGACTCACTGCTGCTGTTGAGGCAGGAGCTGCCATCTCTGTTCTGGGCCTGCAGCTCATCCCAGACTTGCAGCACACCTGGGTGGGGCTGACAGGTGCGGAGGGAAGAAGCATGTGGCTGTCTCACGGGCTTGTCACCCCGTCCTGCAGCTCAGTTCTGCTCCATTCTGCCAGGGCCTGCGTTCCAATGTCCTCCTGTCTTTTGATGACACCCCTGAGAAGGACAGCTTCAGAGCGCGGAGCACTAGTCTCAATGAAAGGCCCAAGAGGTGCGGGGCCTGCCGTGGGCATATTGGGTGTCGAAGTAGGGCAGGGCAGGCCTGCAGGCTGTGATCTGTGACCAGCCTGGTGCATACAGGTCCTGGGACTGACCAGCTGCCCTGGGTGAGCCAGTGGACTTGAGATGTGGCTGAGGGTGTGCCCCCCGTGCAGGCCATTCTGGGCTCGAAGGTGCCCTGGGGCTGTGAGGCAGGGCAACCTATGAAGGCCAGTAAGGCCTCACACTCAGCTGGAGGGGCTGGCACTGCGGCCTGTGGCCCAGCCTGCCTAGGCGTTGAGTGCAGACTTGCTGAGCTGGCGGTACGGGTGCTAGCTGGAGGGCATCTGGTTTGGGTCTGAGTCCCTGGAACAAGCCTAAGGTTGCTCCAGGGCTGCTGTGACTCCTGAGAAACAGCCCCTGGTCTGGGCAGGGAGGAGCCCAAGACTCGTAGGCACCCTTCCTGTGGCCCTGCAGTGAGCTGAGCCTGAGGCCAGGGCCACCCCTTCCTGCAGAGCTCAGTCCCTGGCCCATTGCTAGCCAGGGGACATGCTCTTTACCATCACAGCCGCTTTTGCCGAACCTGAGAAGGATCTGTGCTAGGCCTTGGTTCTCGTTTGCATTTCATTTGAACGGCTCCCACCCTTCCTGACCCCACTCTCCCGCCCGAGCTTTGTCTTGGCCCTCCCTAGGTGGGAATACGGCATTTTCCAGAGTGACCAGGTCAGTGTGACCTAAAGTCAAAAGCTGTTCTCAGGCTCCTGGTGGCGCCTCAGACTCAGAACTGGCTCCTTTGAACATTGACCTTCAGGGCCTCAGTGTCTCCTGGTGCCCTAGCTGGGCGATGCTGGCCTTCCACGGGGGTGAGCGGGACACCTGGTCAGCACAGCCTGGAATCTGCCGTGTGGTGCTATCCACACGTTTAATTTGCACTAATGTTCTTTGTTTCGGTATTGTGCGTGAAACCTTACTTTTTCTTCCGTCGTGTTTATAAGATGTATTTTCATGCATTTTTGTTTTCTGTTTCTTCCCCCTGCTAACTGGCTCTGGCATGGTTTTCTGTTCATCTCACCCATGGGCTCTCCATCCTGACCCTGTGGCCTGTGGCCTTCCCTCCCCGCCCTCCATGGCTTGCTCCCTCTGGAGCTGGGCTCTCTGGGGCCTGGGCTTCCTTTCCTCACCTGGTAGTTTGAGGATAGCCAGAGCCCCCAAACAAGGCCTGAATGGCTCCCCACCTGTGAAAGAGTTCAAGGAGAGCTCTGCAGCCGATGCCTTCCGGTGCCGCAGCATCAGTGTGTCTGAACATGTGGTCCGCAGGTAGTGGGCTCTGTCGGGCGGGGGGCTCAGACCCTGGAACTTGGCCCGTGAGGTGGCGCTGCCAGGCGGGGGCACCTGGGTGGCGGTGCATGGGGCTGCTTGCATGACCTCGCCACCTGCCCATGCCTTCCCAGAGCTAGAGCCAGAGCCCGACTGGCAGCCCTCAGGCCACGGGGGCCTTTCCTGCACAGCCCAGCCCTTGAGTCAGGGGTCCTGGCAGTGAGGGGCGGAAAGGTTGCATTCTGTCCCCAAGCCTGGTCCAAGCATGGGCTGGCTGCACAGCATCCTCAGAGGCTGGCTGGGGAGCCCGAAGCAGGTGGCCCCTCTGAAAAAGCTGGTGTCCAGTGGCTGCTGCTTGCAGGTCTGGCCACAGAGGTCAGGGGCCTTTGCAAATTAAAGCAGTGCCATGCAGGTGGGTGGGACACAGCTAGGGTTTGCTTTTCATACCCTCCAGTAGACCTTGCCTCTGACTTGTCGTATAGGAAAGTCTGCTTCCTGTTGTAGCTGAAAGGGGACAGCGCGCTTTGTGTAGAGCAGTGGGGAGGGGGCGGCCTGGAGTCCTGAGGAGCGTGGCCTGGGTCGCCCCTCCCTGCTGGGGGCGGGGACAGGGTGGCCTCTCGGGGGTCAGTGCTTTGTGCTGACCAGGCCGCGCTGTGTGGGGTACTGGGATCCCCCCCTGGAAGCCCCTCGCTGGGGCCTGGCTCCAGCCTCAGGCTGGCCTCTGCTGAGTGAGATCTGCCTGGGGACGGGGCTCAGTGAGGCTGCTCTCAGCTTCCCCAGCAAATACTTTATTGTGAACAAAACAAAGCAGAGGGGCTGTGAGATTTGCATCACGATTAAACCTCCATAAGCCCCTCCTCTTGTCACTGGGTGCATGTGGGGCCAGCGCCCCAAGTGTGAGGGCGAGGAACACACAAGCCCGGACCCTCCCTGTCCTTGGCGGGGGTGGCCCTGTGGGCAGAATGCAATCTCTTGTCTGTGCACCCCGTGGGCTCTGTGTCTCTGCATGACTGAACTGTTCTGCCACAAAGCCATCACCCAGCTCTCCTGTGCTTGGGTGAGGGGATGTCCTCCCTCTCCCCCTTGTCTCTTAAGCTGCTGCTCCCACGAGCAGGCCCAGGTCCCTCCCCTGAGCCCCTACCCCTGGTCTGGGATGATATGTCCACTTGGTTTGCTGAGCTGTAGCTCCGCTGGTCCCGTGCCCTGATGGGGTCCTTCTGAGTGCGGCCCTCTCAGCATATGCATGCCTTGAGCTTTGGCCCCTGGGGGTAGATGACGGTCCTGCCCCATGTCCTGACCTTGCTGCGACCCCCTCCCCCAGCAGGATCCAGACGTCCCTCACAGGGGCCAGCTTGGGGTCTGCAGATGAGAACTCCATGGCCCAGGCTGACGACAACTTGAGAAATCTCCACCTGGAGCTCACGGAAACATGTTTGGACATGATGGCAAGATACGTGTTCTCCAACTTCACGGCAGTTCCCAAGAGGTGCAGGCCAGGTTCTGGGGCCGGGGTGGGTCTGTTGCTGCATGTGGCCCAAGGAGTAACAGCAGGTGTGGCGTGCAGGGCTCCTTCCCCGGGGGCTGGCCTGGCCAGGCGGCTCTGCATCTCCGAGGCTCCTGCTCCTCCGGCGCTGGGGGCCTGCCGTGCGCCGTGGTCAGGGGCCTCGGGAGCCGCAGTGTCCACCCAGAGCCCCTGCCAGGTCAGGTGGCCAACACTGCTTTGCTTTCAGGTCTCCGGTGGGAGAGTTCCTCCTGGCTGGTGGCAGGACCAAAACCTGGCTGGTTGGGAACAAGCTTGTCACCGTGACAACGAGTGTGGGGACCGGGACCCGGTCGCTGCTGGGCCTGGACTCAGAGCTGCAGCGTGGCCCAGAGTTGAGGTGACTGCAGTTTTTGCCCCTTGCTTGCCCAGCCCTGGTGGTGGCTGTCCTGAGCCAGGCCTGCGTGGGGCGGTGCTGTGCTGGCTGGAGCCCACGGGCACCTCAGCTACATGCTGTGTGGACCCTTCTGCCCTCAGCTCTGACCACGGCAAGCGTGTGAGACAGACAAAGGAGGCGCCGGCCAAGCTGGAGTCCCAGGCTGGGCAACAGGTGCACCGTGGGGCCCGGGCCCGGGTCCGCTCCATGTCCGGTGAGCCTCTGCCTCGCCCCTCACAGGTGCCTGTCTGGGTCCTTGGGAGCCGAGGGACAAGGTGGTTGGCTCCAGGCCTGGCCCGGTTCCTGAACAACAGAGCCCCCGTCTTAGGAGTGGGGTGATGCTTCTGCACAGCCATGGCCCCGCTCGCCATGAGTCTGTTCTCAGCCGGTCTGGGTGCCCTCAGCCCAGCTTGGCCCTGGTGCTCCGTTGCCTCGGCGGGAATGAGCCGTGGGCCGACCAGAGCAGGTGCTGCCGCCCTGGTGCTACATGGCCAGTGCCTAAGAGGGCCGTGCCCACGGAGGGCGGAGCTGGACCGGGGGCTGCTGGGCCCTGGCTGGGCCTGCCAGGTCTGTGCTGGTGGCCTTGCGCTGGGCGGGTGGTGGTCACCAGCCCTCCTGCCCTTTTCTTCAGGGGGCCATGGCCTTCGTGTCGGTGCCCTGGACACCCCAGCCTCCCATGTCCCCAGCGGTGCCCCTTCCCCGGCCTCACAGACTGCGCCGGCCGGCAAGCCCGAGAAGGCTGCAGCCGGCTCCCAGACTGATCTGGCAGCCTATGTGCCCCTGCTGACCCAGGGCTGGGCGGAGATCTTGGTCCGGAGGCCCACAGGTACGAGTCCCACAGGTGTGGGACATTCATCCCTATGGATGCGGAGCAGCAGCAGGCGGCTCAGGGCAGGGGCTTTGTTCCCAGAGTAAGAGTGGTGGAGGCCCAGGGCACTATGTGGGGAGACTACCAGTTCACTTGGTCACCACAGCAAAGGCTGGCGGCCCGCAGAGCAGCTCGTGCTTCCGTCCCGGAGGCTGGGACCCGAGGTCAGGGTGTGGGCAGGGCTGGTCCCCCCGAGGCCTCTCTCCTGGGCATCGTCTCCCCGCGTCCTCACACGGTCGTGCCTGTGCCTGTCTGGGTCCTGACCTCTCATGAGGCCGCAGAGGGGACTAGGGCCCGTCTGCGGGGCCCACTTTACCTCAGTCACCTCTTTGGAGGCCTTCCTCCAGACGTGGTCCCATCCTGAGGCCCTGAGGGCTGGGCTTCAACATGTGAATTTTAGGGGACACAACAACCTACAGCTTTTCAGGCAAAAGGAAGGATTTAAGCCAAGGCCTAAGGGTTGGGAGGTGCTTTGAATGCAGTGCCACCGAGTTGTGCCCAAGGGGCAGGAGGAAAGGGACGGGCACTGGCCCCCATGGAGGCCTCCAGTGCTGGGCTGGAAGGCCGTGGGGGATGGGGAGGGCGAGGCGGGTGAGAGCGCCCTGGGGCTCGAGGAGGCGGGACAGGGCTGGGGAGCTGCTCAGGACGTGAGGGTGCTCAGTGAGGAAGGCGGAGTTGCAGTGTGGGCCCCTGGGCCTTTGTAGGGAGAGGACGGAGCCCAGCAGCCTCCCCAGCCGTGCCCCTCCTAGGCCCCTCTTTTGGGAGGAGTCTGCTGCTTTGAGTTGCTTCCTCCACCTGTGGCTCCGAGGCTGCCCTGGGCAGACTGCTGTGGCGTCAGGGCTACTTGTGTGCTGAAGCAGGGGACTGCCAGAAGGTGTTTCCCTGACCCTGGGGCCCCCAGCCAGGGGCAAGGCTTACCTTTCACCTCCCTGCTGCCATTGCTTCCTGAGGGGCACAAGGAGGCCTGTGGAGGACAGGGTGGTGGGGGCTGCCCGGGAGGGGCTGAGGCCTGAGTGGTTCTGCTCACCCTGCCCAGGGAACACCAGCTGGCTCATGAGCCTGGAGAACCCGCTCAGCCCCTTCTCCTCGGACATCAACAACATGCCTCTGCAGGAACTGTCCAATGCTCTCATGGCTGCAGAGCGCTTCAAGGAGCGCCGGGACACGGCCCTGTACAAGTCACTGTCGGTGCCCGCAGCCGGCTCGGCCAGGCCCCCCGCACCGCCCCGTGCCAACACAGGTGAGCCCTGCCGGACCCCATCTGGTGCGCGCCCTCCGACGGCAGTGGGGATGCGTCCGGGCTGGGGTCCCTGAGTCTTCCTGTCCGCCGCCAGCCTCAGGCATGGGAGGAGGCTCCCGGGGGGAGGACCCTGACGTTTGGGAGCCAGGCCCACTCCTGCAGAAGGGACTCCTTCTTTGATGACGTGGTACCACCCCCCCTTCACCCCATCAGCTGGTCCCACTCAGGGAGGCGTGGGCAGAGCTGTGTGAAGCCTGGGCCCTGTGCCCCGCACCCTCCTTATGGTGCCCGCTGCATGGGGCCCCAGCAGGCAGCCACTCTTTTGCTTGGGTTTGGGTTCGGATGCGCCGTGCACGCAGCCTGTGCCTGTCTGTGCTCTCTGGGGCCCCTGCCTGGCTGGGCTGGGGCCGTCCTTCAGGCCACCGCCTGGCCCTCCCTGTGGCCACAGATAGTGTTCAGAGGCCAAGGACTGTTGGTCAGGAGGAGGCCCCTCTCCTCCCCAAGTGCCGCTCACGCAGCCTGGAGAGCCAGCCGTGTGGCCGCTGCTCCCGCCGCCGCTGGCCCTCCCCTCTTTCTCTCCAGGCCCAGGCTGTGCAGGACTAGGGGTGCCTGTCCGCTGCTCCACCTGTGCACAGGCCCTCCTGCTGACTGGCCGCTCGGCTCTCCCTTGCAGTGGCCTCTTTCTCCTCCCTGTACCAGTCCAGTTGCCATGGAAAGCTGCACAGGAGCATTTCCTGGGCAGGTATTCGCGTGTCTCTTTAAGGAGAGCGGTGTTGGCCGCCGAGCACCGCTCTGCCTCGTAGATGCTGTCCTCATCGCCCCTCATCTGCTCTCCCTCCATGGTCCCGTCCGCGCCGCTCCTGGCCCTGAGGGAGCCTGGCCCCGACTCGCATGAGGACGACTGTGCACATGCGTTTGCTTTGCCGGCGGGAACCCCTCTGCCTCGCGCCCTTGGGGTTGAGCTCTGTTCCCAAGCTGGAGGGGCCCTCCCAGCCCCTTCTTCAGTCCCGAGGAGGTGACATGGGCAGCCGAACCCCATCCAGAGCCGGGGACAGCTCTTCGGGGGCCGGTCTGGCCCTGGGGCTCAGCTGAGCTGATCTTGTTCTGGTCTCGGGGTGTCTGATTGGCTTTGCAAACCCACAGATTGGGCTGTCTGCCTTTCACTGCGGGTGGGCTGAGGGCCCTGGCGAGGAGTGTTTGACCTGCGGGGATAGGGACTCACCCCCCTGTGTCCCCTGTGTGGGCAGGAGCCAGTGAGCAGAGGGCAGCGTGCAGATGGGTTCTGGCAGCAGCTAACGGACTGCGCACGTGCAGGGCTGTGCCAAGCCCGGGCTGCCTAACCCTCTGCGTGTGCCTCCGGTCCCCGACGCCGGCTCGGGAGTGCTGCTGTGGAGCGCGGCGCCCTGTCTAGCACACGCGGCTCCGGGTCTGGCTTGGACCGGGAGCGCGGGCGTCCAGTCCCCAGAGCGGGCATCCGGTCTGAGTCTGCACCCAGGGACTTCCCCGCATCCCGCTTTCCCGGGTCGGCAGGGAGGGGCTCGGGGCTCCTCCCTGGGGGCGGGTCTTGGCGCGCCGCCCCTCCTGAGCTGAGGCCCCGTCCGCCTCGGTGGCTCTGCCCTCTCCAGACCTCCGGTCCTCACCCTCCCGCCTTGCAGGTGGAGCAGAGGCGGTTTCTGTGCACACTGGAACGGGTGGGCGGGGCTTAGAGGAGCCAGACGCCGCCTCGTCCTGACTCCTGGGGGCCCTGGCCCCCCACGACCCCCCAGCGTGCCCTCCAGCCGGCCTGATGGGCGGGGCGGCTTAGAGCCCCTGTGGAGGAAAGCCGGAGGCAAGGCTCTGCTGGGGGTCCCTGGACCCTCTCGCGGGGAAAGGCTGTAACCTCAGGCCGTGTGTGCTCCCGGGGGCCGGGCCAGCACCCAGCAGCCCCGGCTGTGTCCCCGCAGACTCTGCGGTAGTCCCGGAGGAGGGAAGCCTGGGAGAGGCGGACTTGTCGGTGGAGCCCCCCGAGTTGGAGGACTTCGAGGCAGCACTAGGTGCAGACAGGCGCTGTCAGTGCACCGAGGCTTACAGCAGGGTGAGAGCAGGGGGCTCCGGGGTGCGGGAGGAGGGCTCTGGGGAGAAGGGACGGCCTGGGCGGCTCCGCCTCCGGCTTTGCAGCCCAGCAGCCCAGCATCGATGTGCTTTCCACTCTGGCAAGGCTTTTGTTCCCCTTTTTCATCTAAAAAGTGGGTATTCTTCCAAGCCCCCTGTGCACGGGCAGTCTGGGATTTCCCAGTGGACCATCTAGGTGGGAGCAGATGCCAGCATCCTTTGGCGTGTGGGGCGCTTCGCTTTCCTGCTGTGCACGGGGCACAGGCAGGTGCTTCCCTGCTGGGTGGGACCATCAGGTTGGCCTGGCGACTGCAGCCCTGAGCTAGAGGACAGGTGGGGCCTAACTGCCTCCAGGTAAACTGCACCAGGCCCGGTGGCACTCCTTGACCCAGGTTCTCTTTCGGCTTGATTTTTTCTAGTCGTCCTCAACCTCCAGCCAGGAAGAGAAGACATTCCGCACAGAGGACCCGGCTGCCGGGGGCATCCCCGTGGGGCGCGCTGCCTGCTTGGAGGGAGCCCGGGCCCACACAGGCCTCTCCTTCCAGCCCTCGCAGCCCCTGAGCAAGTCGAGCTCTTCCCCTGAGCTGCAGACCCTGCAGGACATCCTTGGGGATCCCGGGGACAAGGCTGACACTGGCCGGCTGAGCCCCGAAGTCAAGGCCCGGTCACAGTCAGGGCTCCTAGACGGGGAAGGCTCTGCCTGGTCAGCCCCAGGCGAAGAGATCCTGGGCCGGGGCCCTGCCCAGCCTGAGGGTGCCTTGCCTTCCAGCTGCCCCCGCTCTCCCAGTGGCCTGCGGCCCCGTGGCTACACCATCTCTGATTCAGCCCCATCACGCAGGGGCAAGAGGGTGCAAAGGGACACCTTCAAGAGTAGAGCTGGGACGTCTAATACTGAGAAGGTGCCAGGCATCAACCCCAGGTGAGCCTCACCCTCCCGGGCTGGCATGCCCAGACATGCCCCGAGGGGACATGGTGGCTGCGTGGCCCTGGACAGAGCAGACTGGGCTCCTGGCCCATGTGGCTTCTCCTCTGTGGCTGGTCAGAGGTTGTCCTTCAGCTCCGGGGCTCAGGTTCCATTTGTCTGTCAGGGTCCCGGCCAGCACGGTCCCAGCCACACACACACAGAGACACACACGCGCACAGACAGACACACAGCCACACACACGCCCCCCGTCTCCCTCTGCAGCTTTGTGTTCCTGCAGCTCTACCACTCACCCTTCTTTGGCGACGAGTCCAACAAGCCGATCCTTTTGCCCAATGAGGTGGGTGTGCCTTCTGGTCCCTACCGGGTCCCCCTGGAGCCTGGACGGAGACAGTGGGGTGCCCTGGGAGAGTGGGCAGGGCGGGGCGGCACAGGTGGCCCTGCCCTGGGCTCAGGCGGGCTCTGTTTCTGCAGTCCTTTGAGCGGTCTGTGCAGCTCCTCGACCAGATCCCGTCCTATGACACGCACAAGATCGCTGTCCTGTACGTGGGAGAAGGCCAGGTGAGGCTGCTGGGCTGGCTGGGCTGGCAGGATTTGGCCTGGGTGCAGGGGTGCGGTGGGGGGTTCTGAGCCATCCGCAGAGCCCAGTTACCATACAGCTGTGAGGGTGTCAGGCTTGTTGAGCTCCGAGCCAGTGCTGCCCTGGGGCTGGGGTCAGGGGAAAGGGGTGGGCCAGCACATGAACACAGGTGGGCCAGAGTGCTGGACTGTGGAGGGGGAGGTGGCACTGAGCAGAGGCACAGAGGACGTGAGGGAGGTGAGCGTGGGATAGGCCTGGCAGGCAGCAAGGCCACTGGGGGGCGCACACCCTGTGCTTGAGGACTGGTGCAGAGCGAGCACTGGGCAGGGGTCGGGTGGGATGGGGAGGGCCTCGCAGGCCGCTGTGCACTGCACTTCCGTTCCCAGTGAGGTGGGTGGGCCTTGGACAGGCCTCCGTGGAAGCAAAGGCTTCCATGACTCGGCCCCCGTCTCCGAGGCATCCCTCTGGCCGCGTGGGGACCGTCCCAGTGAGGGAGGAGCAGGCGGTGGGGGCTGAGGGGCCCCCCAGTGTCTGGAAGGTGGAGCTACCAGCTGGCTCACTGTGAGAGAGGAGGGAGAAGGACGGTCCAGCTGGGCCGCTCTGGCGTGAAGTGGCCTGGTACCCGGCCGGGTCCCCAGACCGCACCAGCTCGCTGCTCGGGAGCGGGGCGGGGCAGGGCAGGGGCAGGGTGTGGAGGGGGCACGGCCTGGGGGCAGGTGCCCAGTGCTCCTCTCCCACAGAGCCACAGCGAGCTGGCCATCCTGTCCAACGAGCACGGCTCCTACAGATACACGGACTTCCTGACGGGCCTGGGCAAGCTCATTGAGCTCAAGGACTGCCAGCCGGACAAGGTGTACCTGGGGGGCCTGGATGTGTGTGGCGAGGACGGCCAGTTCACCTACTGCTGGCACGACGACATCATGCAGGGTACGCATCTTCCCCTGGCATGTGTCCCCCGGCCCCACTCCTGTGGGCCTGCCCTCAGGGGGCACAGGAGTGTCCAAAGGCTGGAGTTCACCAGCCTGGGCACTGAGGCTGCGATGGGGCTGGCAGCTCTGCTTCCAGGAGCTCTGCCCTCAGGAGGAGCCAGTGCTGCGGGCCAGGCATCAGGCTGGGGCTTCTGGAGACCCAGAGATGCCCTGGCCTTAGCCCCCACCCCAGCCTGAGAGGCTCAGCTGGCCGCTCTGCCTTGCAGCTGTCTTCCACATTGCCACCCTCATGCCCACCAAGGACGTGGACAAGCAGTGCTGTGACAAGAAGCGCCACCTGGGCAATGACTTTGTGTCCATCGTCTATAACGATTCTGGCGAGGACTTCAAGCTGGGCACCATCAGGGTGAGGGCCTGGGGCTCCCTGGCTGGAGCGGTGTGTTTGGGGAAGTGCCCTCTGGTGCGTGCTGAGTGCAGGCCATGCGCTGTTGGGGGCGGCATGGTGACAGGAGCTGTGGCCTGCACCAGGGTCCCCTGCTGCCAGCAGGGACAGGCGGTGCCGAGCCCATGCCTTTCCTGTAACAAGGACGGTGCAGTGGCCCCACCACCTCCTGGAGCACGGCGGTGCTGTGGTGTGAGGGGAGCAATGGTGTGCCCTCGGGCACCCAGCCGGTGCTGCCTGTTCATGACGATGGAGCACCTTCTTCCCTGGGTCCCCTTGTATCCGTGCACAGCAGTTGGGTGGGGGGTATGGTATCATCCCCTCTCTGGACAGGATGTTGTGGCTTGAGGGCCCTCAGGGAGGTGAGCTCAGCTGGGAGACTTGTTAACAGGGAGAAATGTGGACGGCGGCTATGAGGCCAGCAGACCCCAGGTGGCCAAGGGGCTGGGGACCAGAGTGTTTGGATTTATCCTGAACCCAGTGGCAAGGGGAAGCCTCAGAGGAGATCATGGGACGCAGACCCCAGGCTGTGGGCAGAGAACCCAGCAGAGGCTGGGGTGCCTTTGGAGTGCGAGCATGGCCGTGTGCGGGACAGCACCCTGGGAGGAAACCAGGGAGGGGTGTGGGGCTCTGCAGTGAATAGGGGCCTGGACATGCCTCCGCCGTCTGTTCTTAGTTGGCAGGGGGCAGGTGTCCACTGGGTAGCAGCATGTGGTGGGTGACTGTGACCTTAAAACTTTGGCCAGTCAGCTGTGGGGTTGGTTGGGTTTCGGGAGGTAAGGCCATCGAGGGGAGAGGTAAAGGGGAAGCATGGGTGCATGGGCGCTGGTGGTTAGCATCTGATGCCAGTGCGGCTGCTGCCCTCCTGAGCTCCATGAGGTGAACCCTGCTGCTGTCTGGGCAGGGCCAGTTCAACTTCGTCCATGTGATCATCACCCCCCTGGACTACGAGTGCAACCTGGTGTCGCTGCAGTGCAGGAAAGGTGAGGCTCAGGGCAGGCAGGGTGGCTGCGGCCTCGGCCCTGGGCCGTGTGTGAGCGCCCTGTCTCCCCCAGACATGGAGGGCCTCGTGGACACCAGTGTGGCCAAGATTGTGTCTGACTGCAACCTGCCCTTCGTGGCCCGTCAGATGGCCCTGCATGCAAATGTGAGTGGAGGGGCAGCGGGGGTGGCAGGTGAGGTGGCCCCCAGTCTCCAGGTGGAGGCTCACTGCTTGCCTGCCCCGTGCCAGATGGCCTCGCAAGTACACCACAGCCGCTCCAACCCCACCGACATCTACCCCTCCAAGTGGATCGCCAGGCTGCGTCACATCAAGCGGCTCCGTCACCGGGTAGGTGGGCAGGCTATGGGCATGCCCCACAGGGCCCCCCTGCAGCTGGCTGCTCAAGCTGTGTCCCTCCCTTGCAGATCCGGGAGGAGGCCCACTACTCGAACCCCAGCCTGCCTCTGACACAGATGCACCCCCCAGGCCATGCCAAAGCCTCTGTGCAGGCCACAGCAGAGACTGTGCCCACCTATGAGACAGGCCAGCGGAAGCGCCTCATCTCCTCTGTGGATGACTTCACTGAGTTTGTGTGAGGCTGAGTGCGGTCATGCCTGGCCCCCCTGGGGCTCCCGGATGCTGAGCCCTTGCCCGGGGCTCCAGTGGCGGCTGCCTGAGCCAGCGTGTGGCACAGGCACCAGGTGGTAGTTATTTGGGCAGAAATAAAGTGCTGTGGCCGGTGCCCTGACAGAGAAACGAGTCACAGTCAGCCAACTTTTATTTGACTTTGTCTGCTGGGGAGGGATCAAGGCTACAGCCATGCCCATGCCCATTGCCACGGTGCATCCCGCAGTGTGCTGTCAGGGCCTTGCCCCTGCAGGAGATGGCATGTGCACTTCCCGTTCACTGTCACACATTCACCTGCCCCAGCCTGGGGAGCCAGCCCCCAGGGAGGGTCTCCCCTGACCTGGGGCCTCTGCCATGCACCTAGTCCTATCCCCACCCAGACCTGACCAGCAGGCCCAACCCCACCCTGGGCAGGACAGGCCGCTTTGGTATCAAGCTGCCGTGGGGTGGTCGTGCTCTTCCAACTAACTGTCCCATCCCAGCACCTGCCCAGGCCTTAGCTGGGGCCAGGAAGCAGCTGTCCCTTCACTGGCCCCAGCCACGTGGGCAGGTTATCTGGGGAGGAGTGCTAGTTCTGCACTGACAGCGGGCACAGGGCCATTTCAGCCACTAGGCTTTTCAGCCTTTGTGAAAGGGCAATGTACAAAAATATATACATTTTAACCCCGTATAAATTATTGACGATAGACACACAGACAGCAGCTAGAGATAAGTGTGCTCAGCAAGGGGGCAGGTAAGGTAATAATTTAGGGGGGAAGGTTAACAGGGAGGAGGGTGCAGGGTCCCTCCCTGCAGCCTGGATCCTTAGCAGTGGGAGGTGTCTGCCTGCCCAGGGGGTGGGCTGGGCACAGCCTGCTGTACCTGAGGACTGGGAAATAAATTAGCATCTCAGAGGCTGGGCCCTCTGTCTGATACTGCTGCACCCTCCCTCGGGGAGCTGGGGAGAGGACCCTGGGTCCTGGCTGGCCGTTTGGCCTCTGTAAAGTGCTAAAGCCCACAGAGCGACAGGCTAGTGCTGCCCACGCCCCAGGGGACCTGCATGCGGCTGTTGCCTGGCCTGGGCCCTGAGGATGGCGGAAGGGAATACTGAGCGGTGTCTGCTCCGGTTCTGAGGGCCCAGCATGAAGCACCCCCCCAGGGTTGAGGCCTGAGCCCAGGTCTCCAGGGACTACGTGCTGCAAGGGTGGACCTTGTTCTTGGCCCGCAGGGATACGCGGCAGGGACCTGCTGACAGGCCTATGCCTCGATTGGCCTGGGCAAGATGGCTGGGCAAGGCTGGCCGGAGGCCTTGGGAGGGGCCAGCGGGAGGCGAGGCTGGAGGCCCTCTCGTCTTGTGGCCCTGCAGGTTCTGCAGCCGCTGCTCCAGCTGGTAGACGTCCTCTGTAGCCTGGTTTAGTCGGTCAAACTGGGCAAGTAGGGCCTCAAATACAGCTTGGAGGCGGGAGGGCTCAGGCTCACCCCTTGGCCCCAGCCGGCCCAGACCCACGCTCAGCCCCTCCAGCTGGCTGGAGGAGGTGGAGGGTTGTGAGGCGTCAGAGCCCCCGCTCGGTGGGGGCCCGTCCGGGGAAGACTTGGAGGCCCTGGACGAGCGGGAGGGCGGCGGCTCCATGCCTTCAAAGCGGACTTTGTGTCGGAACTGGGGGCGGCACAGGGGCTCAGTCAGTCCCGCTGCACCCTGGGCTCACCTGGGCCCAGGGCGCGTCCCTGTCCGCCCCTCCCCCCTCCCGGGCGGCACCCACCTCCTTGACTTTGCTGAAGCCCATCCACAGGCGCAGCCGGCGCAAAAGCAGTTCTACCATCTCATAGTCCTGCGGCTCCCAGGCTGGACGGTAGAGCTCGCCACGCAGTGTGTGGTGCCGCCATTGCAGAAGGCTGGCCCCCAGCCGCAGGGCGCCCCACAGCCGCAGGGCCCAGAGCCCTGTGCACAGCAGAGGGGCCAGGCGCCAGGACTCGGCAGGGCACAGGGCAGGGCCCCCAGCCCCTGGGCACAGCACCAGGAGTGCGCGGGCCACATTTTGAATGGAGTCCATGCAGGAGGAGACCAGCTGCAGGAGAAAGTGGCACGAATCAGGGGCACCCGCGGCTGGCTACCCTCCCCCGTGGCCCGTCCATCACCTACCAGAACAGCCAGTTGGGTGTAGGCCACAGCGAGCACCACCAGGCCCAGGGCCGCCCCCACCAGCTCAGGCAGGGCCCTCCACAGCGTCTTGCCCAGGACCGACCACTGGCGCACGAACCGCAGCTGCTGGGCAGCCTACGGAGGAGGGACGTCAGCCGCCGAGCGCGCCCCGCCCCGCCCCGCCGCGCCCCGCCCCGTTCTCACCTTAACCAGGAGCAGGAAGAGCAGCGAGGCGGCCAGGCCGCGGGCGGCGGCGCTCAGCTGCGCCACCTGCTCGAAGCTGGTGAAGCGGCGCGGTCGGCGGCGCACGAAGCGGGTCCACTGGCGATCGGCAACACCCAGCTGGGCGAGGCGTACAAGCGCCGCGGCCGCCGACAGCGCCACCAGCAGCCACCGTGCCCAGGTCCCAGGCCGCGCTGCGCGTGACCAGCCCTCCCTGCGCCAGACGCGCGCCTCGGCCACAGAGAAGTAGAGAGCGAAGAGCAACAGGCCCACCTGCGGGCGGGGCGGGGCGGGCAGGTGAGGGGGCGGGGCCACACGGGCGGGGGCGGGGCGAGGACAGGCGGGTAATGGGGCGCGGAGGAGGGCGCACCGAGGTGAGCAGCGGCAACGACAGGCCTGCGCTGAGGCGCTGCATGGCGAATGGGCGCACGCTGAGGGCGGCCACCACGTGTCCGGCTGCGGGGAACTCGAGGCGCAGCGTGACGGCGGCGTGCAGCCCCACTGCCGGGCTGTAGCGCGTGAGCTCCACGAATACGGCGCGGCTCCTGCGCGGAGGGCAGGGTGAGGGGGCAGCCCAGGGGTGCAGGTGGGCAGCTGGTAAAGGAAGGCCGCTGGGCCTTCCAGAACGGCCCGGGGTGCAGGGAAGGCGGCAGGGGCGGGCACAGCGCCCACCTGTTATCAATCCAGTTGTGCAGCCGCAGGAAGCCCAAATGCGCGCGGCTCTCCTCCAGGCTCAGCCCCAGCTCCTGCACGTAGCCCCCGCTGTCGTACATGGCGCAGTAGCCCCAAGACCAGACGCTGCAGAGGGGGCAGTGTCAGGCCGGCCCCCGCCCCGCAGAGACCCGCAGGGCCCTGAGAGGCAAAGCCCGCTGGGGCGGGGTCTCCTCTGGAGAAGTGCCCTCTCCCCGCCTCCGGGACTCAGGCAGCCCTCTGCTCACCCCAGCAGGTCGGGCTCCGAGTAGGCCCAGGCCGCAGAGCCATTGTGGGCAGTGGTCCCCCAGCCAGTGCCGAAATTGCTGGTGCTGAAGCTGCTTGAGGCTGCTGAGCACGGGCTGGCCCCCGAGCTGGCAGCGTCTGGGCACAGTGCTGGAAGCAGAGGGGCCAGAGTGCACATGGCCAAGCCAGGAGCTCTCACGGCTTAGCGCCCGGGCTGAGTGCCACGTGACCTCAACCATCCCTCCCAGCAGCCCAGAAAGTTGGTGTCACTGTGTCACTTACAGGCAAGGACACTGAGGAAGGGAGAGATAAAGGTCACACAGCCAGGAAGCTGAGCCCAGAACCCAGACAGAGGCTTTTCTCTAGAAAAGGGCCAGGGCAGGAGTGGCGCCTGCCCAGCTCACCTTCTTGCAGCCGCACCTGCCGCAGTCGTGGGGGCCCCAGCTCTGGGTCGGACTGGTTCCCATGGACGTAGGGGAGCAGCACGTGGGACATCCAGGGCCAGAACTCATCAGACCTACCCGCGCCAGGCACGGTCACATGCTCTGCCCTTAGGCTCCCGCACCCACATGGGGCCAGAGGCCCTGAGAGCACCGCTCCTGCGGCCCAGCCTGGCCTGCTGCTGCCCAAGGGGGGTGAGGCAAGACCCAGGGCCCTCAGCCTTGGCCTGCTGACAGCTGGAGACAGGCAAGGGCAATACAGAGCCACCCTGGGCACTATAGGGTGTTTGGCAGTAAGTATTCTGGTTGCTGTCCATCGCCAGCAGAACCCACTCCAGTCCTGACAACCAAAACTGTATCAAAGCACTTCCCAATGTCCCCTGGGAGCTGGGCTGGACCAGGGCAGGATTAAGGGGGCCCCGGTGGGCCTCAGTACCACCCAGGCCCAGCAGACAGATGTGTGCATGTGTCGGGGCGGTGGGTGAGGGGGTCTGTACCGGGTGATGGCCAGGAAGGCCTGGCTGTTCAGCTCCTGTTTGATGGCACTCTGCAGACGGTAGGCGTGGCTGTGGCATGAGGTATCACCATAGTTGGCCAGCAGTGTCACCAGCAAGAAAGCCATGTATACCAGGAGGCTCTGGGGTGCAGGGATAGCACTGGGGTCAGCCAGTCCTGGCCCGGCCCACCGTGGAAGAGCAGGGCTTCTAGACTGCTGGACAGCAAACTGCCAGCTTACTGCTGGGAGAGGGCAGCACGTGCACCCTGACTGCACCCTGCCTGGGGCAGACATGTGGTCCACTGAGGACCAAGAAGCCATGGCCAGGGCCGTGCAAGGTCAGGCAGGAGCAGGCATCTGAGCCGGGTCCAAGCAAGGGCGCAGCAGGGGCTGGGAGCAGCCAGAGTCCAGGGAAATGGAGTCAGGGAAGGGGCTGCACAGCCCTGGACCACCTGCCAAAGGCCCTTCTAGGGTCAGGAAGGAATGCCTGTGAGGCATTTGAAAAAGGCTAGACCTCTAGGAACATGTGGCACTGGCACCACGGCCTGGGCTCACCCTCAGCATCCCGTGCAGCCTCTTAACCTTCTGGGCTTCCTCCTTTGCCAGGAAGAGGGCAAAGCCATGGGGAGGCCGCACACGGGGTACACGTTCGCTCACGGGAGTCACAGCCGGACTCTCCACCAGGGAGTCATCCTCATCGGGGTGCAGCCGTTTGGTCACCAGTGAGAAGTACAGGGCTTCCAGCAGGACCTGGGTGGGGGTGCCGTCAGAGGGGCCCGACAGTGCCAGCGCATGGCAGCCTGGCCCACTGAGCACCACTCACCTTGAGCGGCTCCCAGCCAAGGAATGAGGCCAGAAAGCTGGAGCTGCTTGAGAGAAGCCACAGGACACTCACACCAGAGGGGAAGCTGGCGCCGACCCACCCTGAGAGCCCCACGGACACAGCCACCAGGAACAGGCTGAGCCCATGGGCCAGGGGTGCACACCAGGCTGGCAGCAGTCGCTTCCGCAGACCCTCCACCAGCCCTGGGAAGGCAGAGACAGACAGCTGACAGGCAGCCCAGAGGCAGGGGCAGGGAGGGGCGCCCGGGGACCCGTGAACGCACCTGGCCCACAGAACTGTGCCGACAGGGGCGGCTCCCAGGTCAGGCCAGGGCTGGGCGGCCTCCCCTCCCCGTCCCCCTGCAGCAGCTGCGTCTCCGTCCTCTCCCCAGGGGCACTGGACCTGAGGTACAGGAGGGGCGGCCAGCACGCACCCGTCAGCCGCTGCCTCTGCGCACCTGTGCGGCCTCCCTGGGCCTGTGCACCTGCTCCGTCCGTGGAGGGGACATGGCCCCAGCCAGGGTGGATGTACTGCAGGGGCTCACATGGGGCGCGGGGGAGAGCTCCTAAATCAGCCTGCTCCTCAGCCTCAAAGTCCTTGGCATGTCCCCCTGCTTCCTGTGTCCACCATCCGAGAAGTCCTCACCCCACGTCCCTACCGCTCCCTGCAAACTAACTGCAGCTTGGTGTGAAACCTGCCTACGAGCAGCCTGCACGCAGGGCAGGACTCGGCAGGGAGGCCGGGGGCCGGGGGGACCTCGATGCTGTGTCGCCCTGAGTCAGACCTGCCCTGGGCTCTGGAGACCCTTGGGAGCAGCAGCTTAAGGAGAGCTGTGGGAACCCGGATCTCAGGACAGGCTTCCAGCTGGAGGTATTGGGGGTGGTCCACTTAGAACTACTGCCCTAGGATTTCCCCGTATTGTGGATTTGTTTAATCGGTGGACAGTTTCTTCATAAAGACCGCATCACATGATTATCTGTATTCGTAAAATGATTCAAGAAGATGCCCTTTTTTCATAGTGTTCCGTGACAACTCATCTTAGTAATTTTTGGTTGCTTGACAATAAGAGTTAAAAGGAATGGAAATACAGATATTAAAACAGATTATTGACAGAAAAGCAGCATAAGATACATTGACGTGAATCTTCATTACTAAATTGAAAACCAGCCAAAAAATTGAGATGTTCCTAAAAATGTAAAATCAAAATAATCTCAAAAGAAAAGATGGAATATTTAAAAACCCACCAGTGACTCCTCATCACAGCCAGTCCCCGCGGCCCCCCGCACGGGCCGCCTTTGCATGCCCCACACATCCCTCACTGCTGCTGCCCTCAAGGGAATGTTTGCTGGGCTCGAGGCGACCCCACGAGGTTCACTCAACAGATGGGGAACTCAGAGGCCGAGTAGCACCCCAGCCTGTGCTGGGGGAACAAGCTGGATGGCATGAGCCCAACCCCAGAGGGGAGCAGGGCTTCTTGGCCCAGGTCCCCGACCCCCGCCCTCCACTCTGGGGCCAGGCACTCACAGGCCAGGGAGCAGGTCTGTTTCAGCCTGAGTGTTCTGGGTGGGCACCAGGCTGCTGGCCCCTTCTGCAAGGATCTGCCGGATCAGGTCTTCATCTGGAGAGCAGGACGTATCAGGGGTGCATGGGTTCCTCCCACCCCAAACCTTGGACTGGGGACCCTCCTGGGCAATGCTGGGAGACCACCCTCCCCAGCGCTGCTCACCAGAAGCTGAGAAGTATTTGGTAGGCAAGGAGGGGCTGACCAGGGAGAGACCGTCATCTTCTGCGCCCAGCACGTGGCCCATCTGGCCTCGCACCAGACGCTGCAGGGTGTTCCCTACGATGGATGGGTCACTCAGCAAGTCTGGCCAGTTGAGCGTCCCTTCGCTGGATGGCCAGCACACCAGGCTATAGGAGAGACACAGGTCAGCAAGGGGAGTTGCTTCTGAGCAAACACCCCGGGGACACTGTGTGGAGACACTCAGGGCCACAGACACTGGACAAGGATACCAGACACCCACACCGGGACATGTGAGGCATGGCCGACCCATGCCACGGCTCCCACTTTCTCCAGGGACCCCTACCTTTTCGAATCATCCAGAAATAAGTCATTTTTCATTTGTCCTGCAAAAGCCTGTTGAGAAGTGCCGAAAGCTTCAGACTCTGGGCTGCCCAGAGGCAGCAGGACCCACCCAGCTCAGCCAGGGACCCTGGGGAGCCCCCACCTCAGCACGCAGCCCTGGGAAGGTGAGGAAGGAGCTGTCCAGCACAGATGAGTCCAGGCAGCTGTCCACGTCCAGAACCTGCTGGCCGGAGGGGGTGGAACTCGGGCCCCCAGCCACCTGCAGGGACAGGCTGGTGGTCAGTGGGAGGCGTGCCCCTCCTGAGCAGTCTAGACTTGGCCTGTTCTGAGAACGTCCCGGATTGCACGCATTCCACAGCTGTGCTGTCCGGTATGGCACACTGGCCACGTGCTGCTGTGGGGCACTTGCGATGGCTGATGCAACCGAGGAACAAACATAAACAGCCACAGGTGGCTGGTGGTCACAGGGCTGGACCCCTGGTCACAGCACAAAACCCTCTCTCACAAGATGCTGGACGGGACTTGCCACAGCACTGGTGGGTCTGCCTGCACGCTCCTGAGGGCAGGGGGCTGCCATTCCCTCTCCCTGCACTGCCCCCAACTGGCTTTGGGGTCAGCGTAGTGCTGGCCTCATGGGAGTTCTTTTGTGGGTCTGAGAAGTGAGGTCAGTTCCTCTGGAACTGCCTGGTAGAAGCACCAGGAAGGCCAGCCAGGCTGCTCTCTGGAGGAGGTTTTAAACCAGGAATCCCACCCCTTTACTTGCTATGGGGCTGCTCAGACTTTCTGCGTCCTCCCGAGGCCTGGGTAGCGCGTCTTCCTGGGAACTTGTCCGGGTTCCCTAAGGCGTGCGCTGTGCTGACGCACAGGAGTCCGCGGGGCCCCAGCAGTGCGCCCCTCAGGGCACCCAGTTTCTGTAATCGATCTCTTTCTCCTCTGGCGGCCCAGTCAAGCACGCATCAGGGCTGCCTGCCCTCTGGCTGCCACACTGACCACAGCCCTGGGCAGAGGCACCTGCCCCCGCCACCCCGCCCCCTGGAGCCCCTGCCCCCAGCCCACCCTGCTCCGGGACATCCGGAAGAGGAACAGGATGACTAGGTACACGGGGTAGACAACCAGGCTGGACACCAGGCCAACGGCAACCATGTCGGCACTCAGCGGGATCAGACTGGACACGGGCCCCACGCTGCAGGGCAGGAGAGAAGAGACGCAGGCAGGGTCAGGCTGGGAAGGAGCAGGAAGGGGCGGGCAGAGGTGGGTCAGTCCGACCCCCTAGGCACCCACCTGTAGGCAGCATCTCCCAGGACCCCGTACCACACAGCATTGGCGCCTAGGAAGAGGGACATGAGGAGGACACAGCAGGTGGCCCGCTGGACGCGAGTGAAGCGGCTTCGGGGCGGCCGGTCCCATATGGAGAGCCAGATGTGCTTGTCGAAGAGGCCGCGCTGCAGCTCAGCCACCAGACGGCGCCGGCAGCCCTGCAGGGCCGCGTCACCTGTGGACGGGCACAGGGCGGCTGCAGGAGGCCCGAGGCTCAGGCCACGCCCACGGCCAGCGGGCAGGATGGGCCTTACTTGCTGCCAGCACCTCCTTCTCCACCAGACCCCCATTGGCCTCAGTCTCCACCGACAGCCAGTCGTTGACCAGGAAGAAGGTGCTGCGGGCTGTCTGCAGGTCCCTGACGATGACATGCTGCAGGAACCAGGCGGGGCTGAGCCCTGCAGACGGGACAGGGGCAGGGGCAGGGTCAGGGCTGCAGGGCGCACAGCGGGGAGGAAGGGGCAGCAGGCACCACCCGGACCTTTGTTGTCATGCCACACGCGGATCTTCCACACGCTGCCCAGGCTGTGCGGGGTGGCGATCTGGAAGATGTCCAGGCTGTTGCGGTGGAAGGCTCTGTTCCCATCTAGGTGCCGGTGGCCGCTCCGGCTCTCCACCCCATAAAGCATGATACCCACGTGCGCCGTGGTACCTGGTGTGTGGAAGGGGAGGTGGCAGGACTCTGGCTGCCTAGGCAAGCTTGTCCCTCTGCTGACCTTCACTTTCTGACCAAGGCAGTCCTCCCTCCACACAGCCAACAGACGTAGACCTCAGATGTCAACCTGTTAAAGAAATGCTGCCGACGACCGTAGGACCCAGGGTCCAGTCATCGGGCAGGCAGAGCAACTGCGTGCAGCGTACAGTCAGCTGCGATGTCCACTGGCCGGTGATGTCACACTTTCTCCAAAGTCCACAGGGGCTAACCACTGTGCACCCTCCAGTCCCCACAGATTGCCAAACACATCATGGTGCCTCCTGTCTCCCCGTGACAAACACACGTGACGTCTTACAGAAATGGGTCGCCAGCAGGGGGCCCAGCCAACAAAGGAAACATGATGACGCCAGAGGTGAGACTGGCCTCCAGCCACGGGGGTGCGGGCACTGCCCTGAGAGGCCCAGGACACAGCTGCAGCCTCAGGACTAAGGGGATGAGGCGCCGCAGGAAAGCCTCCCATTAAGAGAACTCAGGGGTTCTTGCCCAGGCGGGCAGTACAGACAGTGTAAGGCCGGCAGGTGTGCGGCACCGAGGAGAGGCTCCTCGCAGCGCCGGCCGCCCGACCAGAAGGCGAGCACACTGCGGCAGCCTCAGGGAGTCAGAGAGACGAAGCTCCTCGGTGCCCGTGCCCGACAGCCCCCGTCCTGCCGCGCGCAGTGCCAGCGCGCTTCTCGTGCCTGTGTGACCCGGAGCTCCCGAGGCAGTGAAAGGCATACTGTTTCTGCGATGACGACTCCTATTCAGGAACGACCCCCCCAGCAAGGCTCAAGCCTGCTTCCGCGCGGTCTGAAACACACACCAGCCCGGAGGCCTCCCGCATCGGCGGCACACCTGCTTCGTGCAGGATGTCCGCCTTCTTGGGGACAGCGACGGCGGGCCACAGGCGGCCATGAGAGCTCTCGGGCGAGTGCCCCACACAGCACCCGGTGGACCGGGCCCCACCCCAGGCCATCCATCGAGGTGGTGTCCCTGGGGAAGGCGGCCTCCACACGCGAGAGCAGTCTCGGCTGGGATGGGGGCCCTGCCCTCACCTGAGCCTCGGCCCCAGCCGGTCTTCACCAGAATCTCGTACTTGAAGCGGCCTCCCTTCCCACAGAAAGGGATGACCTGGACCCGCCTGACATCCAGCCGGTCCAGCCTGCGCAGGATCACCACCATGACTGCGTAGGTCACCAGGCACACGGCGCACGTCAGCAGGACAGTGTAGTTCAGGCCCGAGGCTGGCTCCTGGGGACGTGGCACCATCAGGCCCGGGGACTGTGGGCCATGCCTCCCCTTCTCAGGACCAAGCTGGGTCCCCCGGGACACCCAGAGGCATGGGCCCACTCACTGGGAAGATGAAGTGGACGCGGCTGGGGGGCACAAAAAGGCTGGCGCCGAAGGCGGTAAGGTGGCGGGTGAGGCAGACAGCCTGGCTGGGCGAGGTCTCCTCCAGGGGCAGGAGCCCCTCCGTCTGCCATGTCATCTCTGCCTCACTGAAGTACTGGCACAGCGACGCGTACAGGCCCACAGACACTTCAAGCGCTGACCAGCGGAAGTGGCTGGTCAGGTTCAGGTAGTACGTCCCACCTGGCTCTCTGGTCCTGGGAGAAGGCAGGTGTTGTGACCGGCCCTGCCCTGAGTTCCCAGTCGGGGCAGTGTTCTGGTCCAAGGACCTCTCAGCTGCAGCCATGCTTGCCAAGCTTTGCCAGGCCCAGCCTGCCCCCCACAGGAGCCCCCGTAACCTTGGCACACACAGAGGTGACCACGGCCTCCCTGTCCTCAGACACCAGCTCCACCCAAGCCACCGAGTGCAGCCTGCTGTCCAGCCCAGCACTCTTCCTGCCCCCAGGCTCTCGGGCGCCTGCTCTGCCCTCCAGGGTGGGCACATGCTCACCCTGGGGCCATGAAGAAGGTGTAGGGCCTGTGGTCGCCTCCTGCCAGAGCCTCCAAGCCGATCTTCCTGCTGGCTGAGCAGTTATGCTCATTGGGCCAGGGTGCTGAATGCAGGTAGGCAGCTAGGTAGGGCTCAGGCTCCTCAGGCAGGTAGCGCCCTGGGGTGCAGGCATGGGGTGACTCGCCTGCCCCAGGCAGCTGGCACACCCTGGGGGACCCCCCTGGGCCCCCCTCCACCAGCAGAGGCTGGAAGAACCTCCACCCCCACTACACCCTTCACCGCCCTCCAGGCCTCCAGACCCTGGGAACCAGGAGACAGACCACCACAGGCCATGTGTCGGGGCGTCTGCAGGAAATCCCTGCTTGCCGGCCTCCCCTCCACTACCTGCCTAGCTGACCAAGGATGGGCACCCACCGTGTAGCACCGTGTAGGTGAGCTGCAGGTGCAGCCCCGCCTCAGGGCTGCTGCTCTCAGGGGCAACCACCACGCTGACCGAGGCCTGGGGTGGGATGACAGCAGAGCTGGCAGGGACTCGCGGGCCCTGGGCTGCCTGGTCGGAGCTGTTGGGCACCTTCACGGTGATGGCACGCTCTGAGGCCAGCTGCCCAATGGGGATCTGGGCACCGGCCTGTGTCTGGAAGGCCATGGAGGCCACCTTGGTGGAGACCGTGTAGTTGCCAATATAGCCAAAGGGGAAGGGGTTGGAGTCGACGAGGAAGATGAGCTGCACCACGTCGGTGAGGTTGGACAGGGCCCCGCTGAAGGCCGTGGGGATGGAGAAGTGGCAGCTGGGGCCCGAGGTGGCACCCTGGCACAGCAGGCTCCGCGGGTCTGAGCGCTTGCCCTGCGCCACGATCTCCTCGCCCACCAGCGTCAGAGGCTCCTCATCAAGCACACGGGAGCGCATGAGGATGCGCATGAGGGCCGAGGAGAGGTGGTAGGCCCTGGATGCCACCATCAGCGCCGGCAGCTCGGCCCCCAGCTCGGAGGGCTGTGGGCCCTGCATGTCTGAGCTGGCCAGGTGGATGAGGCCACCTGTGGGTGGGGGGAGAGGTCAGGGGGCGCTGTGGGGCGGGTGGGGAAGGGGCCGCTCCCCGCCCGCCGCACCAGTGACGTTGAGGATGCTGTCGGCAATGGTGGTGGGCGTCCCCGTGCCTGCGGCCGTCTCCGCCTGCAGGACGAGCATCATGGCTTCCAGCTTGTGCAGCGTCTTCTTCAAACATGAGCGGCACACGAGCTCCGGGCTGGACGCCTGCAGGGAGCCCAATGATGTATACAGCCCCATTCCAGCCTTGCTGACTGGCCCTGGCTGGGGGCAGTTCCCACAGCCTGGCCACACGTGCCGAGATTCCAGGGCGGTTCCCACCACCCACCTCCCCTCCTCAGGCTCTCCTAACCACCCTCCGTGCTGCTGCTGGAAGGGCCACCCATCCTGGGTCCCACCCACATGCAGCCCTGCTGACAGCCCTTCCCTGGCCCCACCCACCCACATTGGCCTGTCCAAATAGTGACACGGCCCTGCTGGCCCCAGCCACGTCCAGAGCCCTAGGAGCCACACGGCGGACCAGGCCAACCCTACCCAGAAGGCTCTGTGCTTCCTTCTCTGCATCCACCCACCAGCCTGGGCACAGTGCCACCATCAGGAGTGTGCCTAGCACACCCCAGTACCCGCATCTGGAGCGACAGTGGTGGGTGACTTCTCCGGGCTGGAGGACCCAGGGTAGGTAAAACCAAAGGCCTTTCCGCATCTGCCATCCCCACCTCTGCTCCTCACACCCTGGGCCACTCTGCAGGGGCATCCTGGGGATGCCTGTGGCTCATGCCGGGACTGCCAACAATGAGCACACAGCCAGGTAAACTTGGTCAAGAAAAGCTTGGGGGCTCCGCAGGCCTGGACCTCGCCCTACCGTGCACTGGGCCAGTACGGCCGCGATCTGCTGGATGTCGTCCACAGTGTTGACCCGCAGGGAGACCAGAGTCTCAGTGACATTCTTGCGTATCTGGGCTCGAAGCTGTTGCCTGGGGTCCAACTCTGCTGCTGCAGCCAGGGCTTGCTCATACTGCAGGTGGTGGGCACACAGCAGCCATCAGTAGGTGGCGGGCAGCCGTGTGGCCCCTCAGCTGCTGTGTAAGTGGGGCAGCAGCTAACGTCGCTGGTTTCGTCAGGGACAAGAGGTGGCTTTCCCAGGACCTCCTGCAGGGGCTGGAGGCACAGGAGAGGAGAGGTGGGGAGGCCTAGTGGTGGGGAAGGCCTGCATGTGGCTACTGAGAGCAGCAGCTGTTTGAAGGAAGACAGGGATTTTGTCTGGCAGGAGCTGGGTACAGCCCTTTGCGGAATCCGGTCAGGAGCACGGTAACCGGCCCCCACCACTGAGGGCAGACGTGGGACCCCTGCCCCTGCACTAACCTCGTTGAGCACAGTGATGAGTGCTAATGAGTACTCGATCACATGCTGCGGGTCAGCCTGTCTCAGGAGCCCGGGCAGCATGTTCTCTGAGAGGCTGTGCAGCCAGGCCATGAGGTCTGGGGAGGCTCCTGCGGGCTCCGGCAGGGCGATGGCCAGAGACCTGCACACAGGCAGCGAGTGAACAGGGGGCAGTGAGGCCCCCAGCTCCCAGCCAGACCCTGCTCTTGGGCACAGGCTCACCTGTTAAGGGCAACCACGGAAGCGCCCAGCTGGTCCTGCACCATCACGGCCAGGCCCACCTGGAAGTGGGGTGCGAAGCCCGGGGGAAGCACGGCCCCGTAGGCAGACAGGCTGCCCTTGTACACACAGAACTCCTCGCAGTGGTCCTGGCGACAGCGCCGCAGCAGCAGGACATACACCAGCGGGGCACCCGCATCCTCTGCATCCTGCCAGCCTGCAGGCCCCCATAGGGTCACCGGGGCCCTACAAACCCCACCTGAGGCCGGCCCACGCGCCCGCACCCGGCCTGGCCATACTCACCCATGCACTCGAAGTGAACCTTGGTGGTGAGTGCGTGCACCGCTGCCAGTGGGAAGAGGCGGCAGGAGCCCCCCCGCGGGGGCCGGTTTGGGGCAAGGCGGATGGAAGCGCAGCCTTCCGCCTCGCCCGAGCGGCCTAGCACCGTGAGCGTGAACGTATAGCCCTCGCCGTCCTGTAGCACGCCGCGCCGCACAACCAGCCGCATGCCGGAGCTGCCCGTTGACGTGCTGGCCTCGTCCAGCACCAGCGTCTCGTTGCCGAAGGTGTGCGCGGTCCAGCGCTACAGGACGCACGGCACCCTCCAGGCGGTCAAGGGGTCACCAGCCTCGAGGGCCCCGCCCCTGGCCCCCACCCACTCCGTGCCCCTGGCCCTGCCCACTCCTTGTCTCTGGTCCCCTGCCAGCTCCCAGCACGCTCACCCCTTGTTTGAGGCCCCCACGGCAATTGGTGCAGCGGCCCTCCAGGTACACGTAGGAGCTGCGGCTCACCGCGTACACTGCCTGCGCCTTGCAGGACACACACTCCAAGGACACGATGGGCACACGGCCGCTCCGGATCAGCACCTGGGCACAAGGTGGGATTACCGGGAGCTGTGCCCCAAGGCAGGGCCTCTGCTCTTGAGACCCAGGCCCAAGTCTGCCCAGACAGCAGGGCAGTCAGGGCCCTGCCTTCTGCACCTGCCATTCCCCGTGCTGGGAAAGCTCTCCAGGTCCAGCCCACTGGTACTCAACCCAAAGGCCAGGTTGCCAGGGGCCTGTGAGCTCAGCCCTCAGTGCAGTCATAGGGTTGTGTCTCCCAGCCTGGGCAGCGGGGTTCATCTAAAGGAACGGACCACGGTAGGCTTATTTTCTGCAGCATCCGGCGCCCAGCTTGGGCCTGGCACACAGGCGGCAGTGGGTAGGTGCTTGCCTATGATGGTCGACAAGTGACCGCTGAGCCCGACCAGGTGGCTCCTCTGGGCATGCCCCTCACCCCCACCAGGGGCAGGACATTCCCCCAGAACCGACAGAGCCGGGCGCACCTCCCTGCATCAGCAGGCCCCGCCCAGTGGCAGCAGGATGCTGCCATGGGGGTGCCCCAGGGTGTCCTGACCCGCCTGGTTGGTCTGGGGAGGGTGTCTTGAGTGTGGCTCTAGGAGGGGGCGTGTTCCCCCAGCACGCTGAGGGGACTGTTACAGAGCGTGGTGTATGGCTGTCACCTGCTTGTGAGGAAGCCATGCTTCACTGGACATTTGTTAGAAGCAGTAACTTAGAAAACCAACCACCTCGAGGCATCTGGAGCGACACCCCTGCCCCCGTGGCCGCCCCGCCCTGTGCCGCAGGGCACAGGCCAAGCACTCACTGTCTGGTTGGTGGCCTCTTCCCTCCTGCCCGCCTTCCACACAGTCAGGCTGAAGGTGTACTCCACGCTGGCTTGCAGGCGCTCCCGGGGGAGGGTGACCGTGCTGCTCCCACGGGGCCCGAAGGTCAGCGCACACCCTCCTGTCTCACTCTGCAGCCCACAACGGGGGGCAGTGAGACCCCCAATCTACTTCAAAGCAGGGCCAGCCCAGGGGGACTGCTGGGGAGACCCCCCCCCTGCTGGGATCAGGCCCACCAGGTACTCAGTCATCAGGTGGGGCCCAGGGCCCTGCTGAGCTCATTAGCACAAAGGAGTCACTAGGGGTGGGGGAGGTCCCGCCCCGCTGTGCGGCTGACCTGCGTCGAGGCCACGCAGGCCCAGTGGAAGCTGAGCGGTGTCTGGTCACCATCCTCCAAGTTGGGGTCATAGGACTTGCTCCCATCCAGCATCAGGTCCTGAGTATCTGACCACACACGGTACGAACCACCCTCGATAATGGGCACCAGGCGCTCGGGGACCACTGTCACATTGGCCTGGATGCTTTGCGCCAGTGGTGTGTCCCCAAATGACACCATAAACACAAAGCAGTAGTGGCCCACGGGCAGTGCCAGCCGTGGCACCACCAGCTGGGGCCGGCTCATGTCCACGTTGGGCAAGGCCACACGGGCCATGCGTCCGAGCCGCTGGCAGCTAGTGGTGCGGTACACCTCCCAGCGGTACTCAGTCTGGTAGGTGATGCAGTCCCGTAGGTCAACATGGGCTTCCAGGTAGTTGCGCTGGGAGCGCCGCATGAGCACCTGCAAGGGCAGGGCCACCTCCACTCCAGGCTCCCTGCAGGCCAGCACGTGGACAGTGATGGTGGTCTGTGCCACAAAAAAGCTCACCAGGTTGGAGGCATTCACCTCTACACGGTAGTCCCCAGGCCGCAGGTAGGAATGGTCAGCCCAGGGCTCCTGTGTGTCCTCCGCTGGGGCCCCATCCCCAAAGTCCCAGTGGTAGGCCACACGCCGGGCACTGGGGCTCGTGGCAGCCTCGAACCGGGCTGAGCGGTTGGTGAAACAGCGGCTGCTGTGCAGTGCCACGTGCTGGATGACATCCTGAACCTCAACCACCAGTGTGCGGTTCACCCCACCCAGCTCGTTGAAGGCTCGCACATGGACCTCCAGCAGCCCCGCGGCCACAGGGGTGTACGTGACATCGCGGCCCGACAGGATGACCAGTGAGTCCCCCTGGACCTTCTGCAAGGAGAAGTACCACGCATAGGCGACGCGGGAGCCCCGCTGCACCCGGGCTGTGAAGTTCCTCTCAGCGCCCGTGGCAATGCCGGGCTCGCAGCAGTTGGGCACCTGGAGCCCGCCCACGGCCTCCAGCACCAAGATGCGCACCTGGGCCTGCGCCCTGCTCACGTGGTTCTCAGCCTGGATGCTCACTGTGTGGTCCCCAACGCGGGGGAAGCTGTGGGAGAACTGAGGCCCAGAGAGCACCTCAGGGACGGCCCCACTGACCTGCAGGCGGAAGCTGACAGCTGAGCCAGTGGCCAGCAGGATCTGAAAGTGGACCGGCTGCCCAGGCGCTGCCACCTTGCTGCTGGCCCAGAGCACCAGGCCCACAATGGGCTCCTCCACTGTGAGGCTGTGTGTGGCTACCAGCCAGCTGACTGCATTGGAGGCGTTGAGCTGAACAGAGAAGGTGCCGGCATCAGGGAAGACCATGGTCACATGCTGGCCATGCTTGCTGCCACCCAGAGTGGCCCAGCACCAGCTCACGTTGCTGCCCGAGGCCAGCTGCCCCCAGAAGGGCACAGTGGAGCTGGCTGCCACAAAGCCACGGCTTAGCTCACCAGCCCTGATGCTGAGACCGCTCACAGGCACCTGCACGACCACCTCAATGGTGGCGTTGGCTGAGCCCAGTTCATTCTTGGCTGTGACTGTGACCAGGTGCAGGCCAGGGGTAACAAAGGCATGGAGGGTGGAGGGCTCTGGGGTCTCCCAGCTCAGCCCGTCCTCCAGGGACCAGGTATAAATGACACTGCTGCCACCAGCCAGCTCGACACAGAGAGTGACACTCGTGTTGACAGCAGCTGGGTTTGGGGAGGCGGCCGCAGAGAGCCACCCCACAGGTTCCACAAAGTCCACGGTGCGAGTGGCCGAGACATTGCCCAGCATGTTGGTGGCCCGCAGATGGACATGGTACATGCCAGCCTCGAGCACAGTGAGCAGGAAGGTTTTCCCGCTGCCAGCCAAGGCCAGGCCACCGTCCCGCTGGGCAGTCCAGCTGTAGGAGACGTTGGTGCCGTCATGGACCACGGCCTGCAGCTGCAGCGTGCGGTTAGTGGGGAAGCAGCAGCTGCTGCCACCGCCCACCACCTGCAGCCCCTCGATGCGCTGCAGGACATAGACGAAGATGCTGTCCTGGGCAGCGCCTACCTCGTTCTCAGCTGTGACAATGATGTTGAAGGTGCCCACCGAGCGGAAGGTGTAGGAGATGGTGGGGCCCCCAGGGATGGGTGTGCAGCGGTCACAGAGCACCCAGCAGTAGCGCACGTCACTGCCTGCCTCCAGCAATGTGCTGAAGCTCACACTGCCGTTCAGGGGCACCACCGTGCGGCTGGCGTTGACACTGAGCCCTCGCACATGCTGCTGCACTGTGACGTTCAGCCTGGCCTCGCTGCGGCTCACCTCATTCCAAGCCGCAACCCTGATGGCAAAGCGGCCTGTGCTATTGTAGACATGGGTGATCGTGGGGCCCTCAAGCCACCCGCCATCCCCCAGCTCCCACAGGTAGGTGGCGGGGTGCCCACGGCCCACAGCGGAGAGCAGGTAGGGCTGCTGCAGCTCCAGCACATGGGAGCTGTTGACCTCGATGCCCGTGAGCTCCACGGGCTCCTGCACCTCCACGAGTGCCGAGTCGTTGGCAGCTGAGACGTTGTTGGACGCTGTGACTGTCACCAGGTAGGAGCCCGAGTCTCGGTAGGTGACTGTGGCCTCGGGGCCCCCGGTGTGGGCGGCAGCCTCCGTGCCAAAGTCCCAGGTGTAGCGGTAGGGGGAGGAGGGCCAGGCACAGGCCGCCAGCTGGGCTGCATTCCCAAGCTGCACAAACTGCCTCTCAGGCCACAGGGTGACGTTGCCCACCTCGGGCTCCACACAGACGCTGGTGAAGTAGTGCGCCTTATTCACGCGGCTCGACAGGACCAGCGCCAGGGGAAACGTGCCACTCCGTGTGAAGTTGTGTGTCACTGTGGGGTCCCCCTGGATGGTCATGTTGGATGAGCCGTCCCCAAAGGTCCAGTCGAAGATGTGGAGGGCAGGGTTCCCGGTGACGTGGGCTGTGAGACGAGCATGGGGCTGCTCAGGGATGCAGCCCGTGGGGTCAATCCACAGCACCTCCAGGACAAAGACCTGCACAGAGAGGCTCTGGGCCAGCTGGCCAGCCGGGCTGGACACTCCCACAGTCACCGTGTAGTTCTGTGCCCGCAGGTACACATGCTCCACCGTGGCCTCGGGGCCTGAGAGCACCGTGCCATCCCCCATGTCAAAAGTCCATGTGACATTGTCACCCGACTCCAGGGTGGCGCTGATGACCACTGGTGCGCCCTGCTCCACAGCGGGGCTGAGCCTCACGCGCAGGCCACGGAGCCTGTCAAGGACACGGACGCTGGTGCAGGCCGCGGCACTGCTCACCATGTTGTTGGCCTCCAGGCAGACATGGTACATGCCCCGTGAGGCAAATGTGTGGTTGACCTCAGGCTGGTGCTGCATCAGGGCTGGGGAGCCGTCCCCGAAGTCCCACGAGTAGAGGACGCCCACGGGCGAAGGCAGCGGGTGTGGGGAGAAGGTGACAGGCTGCCCCGCCACCAGGACGCGGCTGCCCACAGCCACAGCCACGGCGGGTAGGGAGGCGCGCACACTCACAGGTACTTGCCGAGTCAGGTTCTCGAAGGCATTGGACACGAGCAAGGTCAGGTTGTACACACCTGGGGGACAGGCTGTTGTGAGGCCGGGGCCGGGGCCACCGCAACACGCTCGGTAGAATCTCTCCTGAACCCCACACCGCCACATGTGGGCCTCTCGGGAGGGGCAGGGGCAGGGCCCTGGTTAGACATGAATAGAGGGCACCCTTGGCCCCTGCCTGGGGGTCCTCATGGGGAGGCATGTGGGGTGAGGCCGGCACAGGGGCGGGGGTTGTGCAGGCATGCTCAGGCTGACAAGGGCAGACGCCAATGCAGGGTCCGGCCGTGGGAGCCACTGTTTATCTGGCCTTCTGCACATGAGGCTTCTGGGGCTTTAACAATGACTGAGAGGCAATCACCCTTCCCCTTCAAAAACACTCAGAGAAGGGGACAGGGAGGGCCAGTTTCTGACCAGCAGACCTGAATCGCGGGCTCAGCAGCCCAGCCCACCCGACTCGGACACCCCTTCTCCACTCTCCTGAGGGCAGGGCCCAGGCTGCACTGAAGGGGCTGCCCCCAGGCCAGGCCGCAGTCCCCCCCGCCGCACCTGGGACTGTGTAGCTGTGCGTGATGTTGTGCTCCACCAGCACCTGGGCCACTGTGGGGTCTGGGACCTGGAAGGACTTGTTGTACGGAGGCTTGAACTGGCCCGTCACCTGCTCGCCATCCCCGAAGGTCCACCTGCCACGGCAGCAGGTGGGCTGTGAGCAGCTGTAGGTTGCACTGGGGGGTCAGCTGCTTCCACAGGGGTGCCCCCAACTCTGCTGAAGTCCCCACCCCTCCCAGGGTCCTGGCCCACCCAGCACCTCCCAACAGAGACAGTGGCTGAGGAGAGAACCTGGCGCCAGCCTGCCCAGGCCTGGCCCAGCGAGCTCACAGAAAGGCCACGTCCACGGCTGCGTCCACGAGCACGTCGGCAGCCAGCGCTAGTGTGGCACCGAGGGGCAGCACGGGCGACACCACAGACATGTGGAGGCCCTGCATCCTGTGCATGCGCTCCACGGTGACATTGTAGTTCACAGTGACGTTGCTCACGTGGTTGGAGGCTGTCAGCTGTGGGGACAGGCAGTGGACGGTGGGCTGCCAGGGGGCAGGCCGCAAGGCAGCGTGGACGGAGGCCCCCGCACTCACCCTCAGCTGCGTGGGGTCCCTGGGAGCAAAGCGGAATGGGAAGCAGAGGGGAGCCCCAGCGCCTGTCCCCCAACTCCACCCCGCATGCCCCGCCCACCGAGAGCTTGAAGACAGCAGCACTCTGGTAGATGACGTTGAACACCACGTTGTGGAAGGTCAGGGACTGCTTGTCATCGATGGTCCAGCGGAAGATCACGTCTGAACCGGCCTCTACCACGGGGCTGTACCTCTGTGGGAAGGACACAGGCGGGCTGTGTGGCCCTGCCCTGGACACGCCTCCCCGGGAGGGGTGGGGGGAACAGAGGGTGTGCCCCAGGGAGGCCACCTGGGGCCGAGCACGGGCTCGCTCACCCCTCCACCTCTGGATTCCTCGCCGTCCTCACCTGGAAGGTGACCCAGCACCAGGGCGTGAAGCGCGGACCCACATCTGCGTCCACACACCCTCCCCAGGAGCTCCTGCTCACCCCGCAGTTGGACAGCACCATTCAAAAGGCATAGCTCAATGGGATTCATGGTTCTGGACGTTTCTCTGCATCACTTGACAGAACAGGTGTGTCCAGGGCAAGTCAGGGGACACAACAGCACAGGTGGCAGGGCGGGCAGACAGCCCTTCCCACAGCCCTACGCAAAGGCAGCAGAGCCACAGGCCTCCCCGTGCAGAGTGGTCGCCCCAGGACCGGGACAGCCCCTTCCCAGGGGCACCAACAGTGGCTGGGCGGCGCCAGGCCCCACCCCCAAAAGCACTGGCTTTAGCCAGGCGGGAACACAGCAGGGGCCGCCCAAACCGCAGCCAGGCTCCATGAGGTCTGAGGTGGGCCAAGAGTTTGACGTGTTTCTTGAGCAAACAGGCACACTTGGGAGCCACTGTTCCAGTGGTGACTTCCCGGTGACGGGAGTCAGTGCAGCATGAGGGGCTCCTAACTGCCTGGCCACACTGCCCTGCATCCCCGTGACCCGGCAGGCCCCCTCCTCA